GGTGAATCATAGGATATGCTGTTCTGATGACTTGGAGTCTGTTTAAAGCATTATTCTAGGAAGACAGCATTTTGGAGAGCAGTAACTGATTATAAACTAAGCTGCAAACTGCATATATAATACTTAAAAAGTCAATAGCAATTTGCAATAAACAAGACAAATGCTAAATAGAAAAGTTTGGTATTTAATCCATTATTCACTGGTAGACCCTTATTTAACAAACTGTGTGGAATTATGGGGAACAACTTACAAAACTGCAATAGAAAAGATTATATAGTATGTATTATATAAGATTATATTGCAACTAAAAGAGCCATATGTTTATAAAACAGGATTTTATGATCATACTAGTCCACTAAAATAATTTAACAAAATTTAAAGATTTTTGTATAGTATATAACAGTGAAATTAATCCACAAAGCAAAAACATAAATCACTACCGGATTGTATCCAGAAGTTATTTCCTATTCAACAAAATGAATAAAAGGAATACTTGTAAGGGATTTATATTTTGTTCTATTATTATTGAATTGTTTATTTGTGTTAAGTAAAGTGTAATTTATATTTCTCATAAGCAGAAAGGTATTCATAAGCTTTTTCTTCATCAAGACAATGTGACTATGTTTTTGATATGTTTGGATAAAATGAAACTATACTAAACTATTTTATTGTAGATTTTAGATACGTCAACTAATGCAAATCATCTACAATATGTGTATCTTTTCATATTGCTTATTTTTAAACACATTTTAATAAAAAAATGTTCAAAAAAAAAATTTAAAGGTTAAACAGATTTTTTATCTAAGATCTCATCACAGTTTTGTAAGGTGGTCCTTTCCATGTCAGTTAGTAACACAACACCTTTTATCATTTACCAATCAAAGCACTTCAACGCCAAAACGTTAAAGGTGATACAACAACATTAAGAATATAATAAATGTCTAAAATAATATAATGAGTTTTATCGAAATCCCTTCTATCCATTATGGATAGGATTTCTTTTAAGAAAGATAGAAATCAAGATATTTGAACATGCTGAAGGTAGCAAACCCTGCAGATTTAAGGGGTTTTGTAGCTCATGGAGAGTGGGCAGCATACTTGAATGGTGTTTTGTCCTAATTCAGTCCGGACCTCCTGAAATAGGTCTTACTGTAGGAAATCACCATGGAGACACTCAGAAAGCCTCCTCATTGTTTCCGTCTGTCTTCTAGCTTTGAGTTGGATAGTTTTCCAAAGTTGTTGTGTAGTTTAGTATTGGAGTGGATCCAGGATGCTGCAGCTGCCTGTTGGTCTTAGTGTGGAGAGGAACTGGGTTTACAGGGAAGTCTGGTTCTGAAATATTGAGACTGGACCAGTCTGCTGTTTTCTGCAAAGAGACTGATGCATAAAAACAGCTTTTACTCTGAGCCTTTTCTAATGACGGGAATCATACCAAGCAATTTTAATTTAGTTTTAATATGTCAGGTTCGGGTTTCGAGGTAATAGGAATTGGTGGGAAATGTGATCATGTTTAAAAACTTTTGGCTGCTACAACTAGAATTTACATTCATGAGCCAAATTTAAAATTTCTCATAGTAATGCTCTATTATCCTGATTTATATACATTTAAATGGGGCATCATAAATACTTATGGTTGCTCTTTGGGCCATACAAAACATTTTGATTACAGATTTTGCATAAAAAAATTATGCTATTTTGTGACTTTGTCACTTTTATACAAATTAACTAAAGTAGGTCCCACCACCAAACTCAAAGCTTAAACTACACCCCACTTAATGAGAATGGGTGCTGAAGATGCACACTGGTACAACTGTTCATCTTTAACTCTTAGTCAAACCCAGAAACTGTTTAAGTAAATTCTCCTATGCAACCAGCAAGGATGCAGCAAGCATGTGGGGGTAAAATAAGTTAATGAAAACTTATGCTTTAATGTGTAGATATACGTCAGTAAATGTGAATACATTTAATATTTTGATTTATTGTCAACGCAAACATACATGTGGCATGAGATGTTTCATCCATGAGAACACAAGTTAAAGAGTTGTACAGCTCATGATAAAGCTGTTATATTCCTAAACATTTGGCGGCAGTAAAGAAGAGAAGAGAACAATCAATCAAATGTTATCATTTTGCTTTTGTTAAAAAAAAAATAAATTCAGCACAGATATTACATTTGATTGATGGTGTTGCTACCTGATCTGTACCATCAGCTTATTTGCGCATGTGCAGCCACATATACATCCGGGTAGCCCTTGATTTTAATTTGTAAAAAAGACCTAAATTAAGTTTTTCCCTCCATAAAGATAATAAGAGTATTAAACTATAATGTATTAAAGGTTAATAATTTTTTCCCTGAGCCTTTCTGTTTTATCACTTATCTGTGCCGAAACGGGATCCTACGCTACTTCCGGGAGCTAACTTTTTCGGTTTTGGATTTAAACATAAATCTAGTCTTTTTGAGTTTTATGTTTTTCTTTCATGACAACCTTATGGGATATAGTGTGTAATCTAAACAAAGAAACAACTAAAATGCAGATAAACGTGGTTTAATGATATGTTCTGAGCATGTCCGAGGATGATGTCAGACAAGCGGTCAGACGGAGAAAAATTAAAGAGCATCAAATTGGCTCAGAAAAGTCATGAAAATGTCTTAAAGATTTGTATTATTATTGTTCAGTGACTTAAGGATAGAAAAAAGTACTTTTAGTACCATAATTACATTATTTATGGCGATCTGGAGGTAAATATGCTTCAACATGTGGAAATGAGCTGATGGTACGGATCGTGCTTCCGGTGTGGATCAGGTAGTGACAGATATGGTTCTGTTTTCTACTTTTTTCTTTTCGTATTTAATGGAAGTTGGCAAGTAAGTCACAATTGCAATACTGCCCCCAGATGTTAACGAGTGTAAGAGCTTCATTAGAGGTTGTAGATCTGTAGCTTTAATAATTGCTCCCCTTTGAATAAATATGTTTTAATTATCCCATTTCAGCTTGAAGGAAAATAGAACATTATATTAAAAATGTAATAATGCTGCTGGGATTATGCCCTTCACTGGCTTAAACATTAATATCAGCCCCACCAATTAATCTAGGAGTCTTGCAAAGCATTAAAGGCTGTTATTGAACATCCTATTGAACATATTTTCTTTATATTGTGATGCGTAGTGTTTTATTTTCCATAAAAGCATTAGAGAACAGATCAATATGTTGATGCACCATAATTTTCTCAAACTTAGTAAAAGAAATCTTGGATAATAATCTGAAAGATTTAGAGTTAGCTCACAGCTTCACCTACTACAGCTAGAAACCACTTAGTATTGCTGAAATCTTGGTGTCATGATGGATTCAGACCTGAACCTTTAGAGCTACATAAAGGCAGTTATTAAGTCAGCCTTTTATCACCTGAAGAACATTTCCAGGATTAAAGGCCTAATGTCCAAGCAGGATGTAGAGAAACTTATTCATGCATTCATCTTCAGTAGAATTGATCAATTGATTGAACGGCAACAGTGTTTTGCAGTTATCAAAAGCCTGATGGACTTTTTTTTTGCCTAAAAAGTCCATCAGGCAGCTTCAACTGATCAAACACACTGCTGCCTGTGTTCTAACTAGAACTAAGAAATTAGAGCACATCAGCCCAGTTCTTATGTCTTTACAATGGCTCCCTGTAGCTCAGAGAATAAACTTTAAAATCCTTCTGTTAGACTATAAATCATTGAATGGATCAGCACCTCAATACATAACAGATCTGTTGTCAATGTATCAACCAGCCAGACCTCTCAGGTCTTCTAGTTCCAGCCTATTCTGTTCACCCAGAACTAGAACCAAACATGGAGAAGCAGCATAGTTGCTCCACTGATCTGGTCCAAACTCCCAGAAGACTGGAAAAGTGCTGAAAGCCTGAGTTCTTTTAAGTCAAAGGAAAAACCAATTTAGAGCTGCCTTTTTACTGAGATATTAGTAGTTTAAGGTTGCAGTCAAACTGGTTTATTTGCTTTGCAGCCTGCTTTTATCATGTTTTTATCTATATTTACTTTAATCTGCTTTTCCCCCCCTATTTTTTTGTTTCATTCATTTAAAGCACTTTCAATTGTCTTTGTACCAATAAACTTGCCTTGCCTAATTTACCTGCTTATTATAGAACTGTTTTGCCCTCAGTAGAGTGCTAAATGACCCAAAAGTACGTATTTAAGACTAGCTTAGAATAGCTTGACATGAGCGTCAGTGGTATAATGTGCCAGATTTGACTCTTTTTGTGGAGACCTTCTCAATAAAAATTTATTGTAAAAAACAAAATCAAGAACTGTATGTGTAAAAGACTGGAGAATAAAAACTAAGTGTCCCTATTTAAACAGAACATCATCAGTGACATGAACCTGGTTAGTTAAGCCTCATCTGGTTCTGTGCCTGGCCCAGCTTTGAGTTCTAAGTCACGCCATCACATTTTTGTGTTTGCTTTCAACCCGAGCCAGGGATTTAACCACATTAATTCCCTCTAATTGGAGAAATCTTAACTCCCAGTCTCTAGCTGGGCCCTTATTGCCCAGTCATATGATCTGCATACTGGACAGGGACACACGGCCCTTTTGTGCACAGCTCTTATTGTTTGAATAGTCATGGTGTGGATTGTTGCATAAGTCCTTCAAAATCAGCAGATGTCAGTGAGTTCATAAACATCTCAATATAAAAGCTGATTCATAGGGCTTCTCAGGGTAATAAAATGTGATATATTTGCTTATTAGATACAGAATATGTGGAAGAACAAAGTCTTTGTTGTACTACGACACAACAGTCTTTTAATAGAAGGTTTTCACATGAAAGACAGATTAACTCTTCAACTTTTTACTGCGCATAAGTGCAAATATCTTGGCGTGAGAAGCAGCTAAATTAATGGAAACAAGAACCTTAATAGAAAAATATTTTAAAATGCTAATTTAGAGTATTTGTGTCCCCTAGTGGCGATGAAACGCTACATTTGTCCTTTTCTTCTGTTTCCAGCCATCATGTATGTAATGGGAGCACTGGGCCCAGCAGCTGGTTACCTCCTGGGAGGAGTCCTCATTGGTTTCTACGTCGACCCCAAGACCGTGGTCAACATCGACCAGAGCGATCCTCGCTTCATCGGCAACTGGTGAGACCAATCAGCTGCAAATAAAGTTGATGATAATGGAGATACAAGTGATGTGTTTTCATATAATTTGTGATTTTATATAGATCTTAATTTTATTTAATTGAAATGATGAATATGTATCCAATGCATTAAAATTAAAACTTAAATTCACAAAATAATTCAATATCATAGTTAATATAAGAAGCTGAGAGAGCATAGAGTTTTAAACAGAGTAGAGGTGATCCTGTTCTGCTACAGGATCCATCCATCCATCCACCCATCCACTTTGCCCTTACACCAATAATCTAGATATTCTGTTTCTGGCCTCAAAATTTTATTAGAGAACATCACAGACCAATTATCATCATGAAGACCTGGAAACACAGCAGACAGGTCAGGGAGGAGGTTTAGAGTATGATTGTGATATTAAATAAATGATACTAAGCTCTTAATATCTCAGGGATTTTCAGTCTAATATTAGAAAATTAAACGTGTATAGCACTACTGCAAACTTGCCCTAATTGGAAAACAAACATTCTGAGCAAAGAGTTCACTATCAGAAAAGCAGTCCATGGTAACTCTGGAGGAGCTGCAGAGATGCCCAGGTGTGAGAAGCTGGTCAGAGTTGATGGATCTAGCACAAAACAGAACAAAAAGCTACAAAAGAGTAAAAACTGAGGTGGAGGTTCTCCGTCCAGCAGATAGCTTCAATTATTTATAAATGATATTTGATTTTCATTCTACATTACATTTATGCAGCACCTTGATCTGTCACAAGAAACCACTTAGAGACATATAGGTATTTGGTTGTTAAATATCAAAAGAAAATAAATGATGGAAAAAGTCCTTAACTGTCCATTTTATTTACAAGAGAATAAAGTTGCACACATGCTGCTTCTGGTTTGAGATAAATAAGTAACTTTGTGTGTCTAAGGTGGAGCGGGTTCCTGCTGTGTGCAGTGGCCATGCTGCTGGTGATATTCCCCATGTTCACTTTCCCCAAGAAGCTCCCTCCTCGACACAAGAAGAAGAAAAGGAGGAAAAAGCTGAGCCTGGACGACATGTCCAGCGACGATGACGTGCTGAAGGAGAAGAGCAACAACAGCAAGCACCAGACGGTCACATCGTCCATGGGCTTCGGCAAGGACATCCAAGGTACCAATGATTCACAAACTTCTCCCTTTTTATTTTAAATCTTCTTTTGAGGGCAAAAATAAAACCAAATATGAGGTCAGAAATGTAAAACTGCATCATTTTCATTGAGAGAACATAATAAAATTTAATAAGGAATGCTTTTATACAGATTAACTGTATACAGTTATGCTTGAAATATGACATACCCTTTTATTAAAGACAGAAAAGAATCAGCAGCTGGTAAAATAAATTGACAAAAGTAATAGTAAGTAAAAATTATAAAGAATAAAAATAAAAATTCATGACATTGTATAAATATCTATATACACATATGTATATATAGCTATTATTAATAACATAAGTCAACCAGCCTGATGGAGCTCCTAAACTAAAATTTTGTTGAGCAACACTTTGAGGCAATCAATTCCTGAAATCAGGTGACAGGTTTGTTGGTTCACTGTTCTTGAGCAAGGCACTTTAATTTGTTTCTTAGAATCATTCTTTAAACAAAAATTCAGAATCAATATTTTATTTAACTTAATGTATCGTTTTGTAATTTTTTTAGTTTCAGTTTTGTGTTATGTGAATTACTAATTTAGTTGTGTTAACTTTGAAGCACAACTGTATTTAAGTTCTTTATTTAAGCCTGTTGGTGTAAAGCAGCGTTTAGTTCAGAATACCAGTGAAAAGCCTCATAAAATGGTGAAAGAAAATAAAAATTACAGAATTTACTGCTGTAAGGCAAAGTATGAACTAATGGTCAAATTTAGTATCTTGAATGTATATCTTTTTATTTATAGCTGAAATAATTAAATTGATTTGCAAAAGCTGCCCGTTTTGGTGTTTTTGCACATAAAAACTACCTCAAAATAATTAGCTGGAGTACGAGAAGTTTTAAGCTTTAAACAAGTCTCATTCCTAAGATCTTTGCAGATTTCCTTTCTCTGAACATCTACAGCCTTGTTTTTTTCTCCACCGATGTTTTCCTGGTAAAATCAGTTTTTGTTCCCCCCATTGTCTTCCAGACCTCCCTAAAGCTGCAGTGAGGATCCTCAGCAATGTCACCTTCCTCTTCGTCAGCTTGTCCTACACGGCAGAGAGCGCCATCGTCACCGCGTTCATCACCTTCATCCCTAAGTTCATAGAGTCCCAGTTCGGGATCCCGGCCTCCAGTGCCAGCATCTACACTGGTGAGCTGGAGCAGCTTGACTGATTCAAAGAGCTTTAACTCCAGGAGACTCATGAGAAGTAAAATATGCCATCTTTATTTGTAACTAAGCAGGCGGGATGCAGACAGACAGGACTCCACCCTGGTCTCTCCTCTGTTCGTTCAGTGTATCTAGAAACAGTGCTGCAGAAACCTTCAGGGCTTCCAGCACGCATTAATAATAAAGAAACTGCTGTTCTTCAAATGAAGGAGAGCACCTAAGAGGCTGAGCTTGCTCCCTTATAGGTCTGCACAGCAAATATTCATAAAAAACCCACCTACAAGCGCTCCATATCCCACACACACAATACCATGCATGCTTAAATAGGCATATATACAAGTGGAACATCTATATGCAGATTATAAAGTTTAAACTCAATTTAACTGCACAATTATAGGAAAATGGGAAAGGCTGATAAATAGACCTAATAAGTCCCTCCTCAGATCACTGAAGTGGAGAGAAGCCAACACAGACTGGAGGAGTTTTGGAGCACATGTTAATAAAACATGTAGACCAGCATACTCAGAAATCTGATGTGTTCCCAATTCAGCTGCTGGGAGAAGGAATAGAACAGCAGACCTCGCAATGAGGTGGAGATTATCGTATTTCTAAACTGGCCATCACAGGTTACTGTTATTTATTTATTATTTTCCACCAGAATCAGCATAACCTAAACATATATAAAGCTTTCATAAAATAATGAATCAGTTATTTTAATTTATAGCCATTTATATCCAAATATATACAGTAAATACCAGGATTTAGTTAAAGCTAAATTACAATTGCAATTATGATAAAGGCATTCATCTAATTATTTTCTGATATTTCACTTTATATATAATATCTTGAAAGTATGCATTTACAGATATGTTTCTGAAAATAACATTCTACCTTTAACAGTGTGAAGTCACATGACCTTTCCCTCTTGAAACGCAACAACACAGCAACAAGATGGAAACAAAAACCAGATTTAATATCAGCCCAGTTTCCCGGTACCGGAAGTAACGTTAATGCATCTCAAAGTTAATGTGCCTAAATATATTCGGCATCACTAACTAGAATAGCTGACTGCTTCTGGCTATTTTCAAAGCTAAGCCGTTATCAAACAGTCTCAGACCTCTGAAGCTGCAAAACCTGCAGGATCCTTAACCCCCCCCCCCCCCCCCCCCCCACTAATTACCAGGGTTTTATTCATTCCTAACATATACATTTTATAATGTTTTTAGATGATATTCAGGTTACAATGTTTGTTATATTCAATTAAGAAATTGTTCATATAGCAGCAAAATATTGTGATTGAGAGAGAGAGGTATAAACTTATAATATACACTCACCGGCCACTTTATTAGGTACCCCATGCTAGTAACGGGTTGGACCCCCTTTTGCCTTCAGAACTGCCTCAATTCTTCGTGGCATAGATTCAACAAGGTGCTGGAAGCATTCCTCAGGGAGTTTGGTCCATATTGACATGATGGCATCACACAGTTGCCGCAGATTTGTCGGCTGCACATCCATGATGCGAATCTCCCGTTCCACCACATCCCAAAGATGCTCTATTGGATTGAGATCTGGTGACTGTGGAGGCCATTTGAGTACAGTGAACTCATTGTCATGTTCAAGAAACCAGTCTGAGATGATTCCAGCTTTATGACATGGCGCATTATCCTGCTGAAAGTAGCCATCAGAAGTTGGGTACATTGTGGTCATAAAGGGATGGACATGGTCAGCAACAATACTCAGGTAGGCTGTGGCAATGCAACGATGCTCAATTGGTACCAAGGGGCCCAAAGAGTGCCAAGAAAATATTCCCCACACCATGACACCGCCACCACCAGCCTGAACCGTTGATACAAGGCAGGATGGATCCATGCTTTCATGTTGTAGACGCCAAATTCTGACCCTACCATCCGAATGTCGCAGCAGAAATCGAGACTCATCAGACCAGGCAACGTTTTTCCAATCTTCTATTGTCCAATTTCGATGAGCTTTTGCAAATTGTAGCCTCAGTTTCCTGTTCTTAGCTGAAAGGAGTGGCACCCGGTGTGGTCTTCTGCTGCTGTAGCCCATCTGCCTCAAAGTTTGACGTACTGTGCGTTCAGAGATGCTCTTCTGCCCACCTTGGTTGTAACGGGTGGTTATTTGAGTCACTGTTGCCCTTCTATCAGCTCGAACCAGTCTGGCCACTCTCCTCTGACCTCTGGCATCAACAAGGCATTTCCGCCCACAGAACTGCCGCTCACTGGATGTTTTTTCTTTTTCGGACCATTCTCTGTAAACCCTAGAGATGGTTGTGCGTGAAAATCCCAGTAGATCAGCAGTTTCTGAAATACTCAGACCAGCCCTTCTGGCACCAACAATCATGCCACGTTCAAAGTCACTCAAATCACCTTTCTTCCCCATACTGATGCTCGGTTTGAACTGCAGGAGATTGTCTTGACCATGTCTACATGCCTAAATGCACTGAGTTGCCGCCATGTGATTGGCTACTTAGAAATTAAGTGTTAACGAGCAGTTGGACAGGTGTACTTAATAAAGTGGCCGGTGAGTGTATATACCCTATTCACATAACAGAATATTACAATACGCAAAATTTAATATATATATCAAACAATTTTCATTAAAAGTTCAAAAGTATTATTCTGTATTCTCCAATTTTAGTACAAAGAACAAGGTATAACCTTCAAAATGTACATTTTTGATCAAAACAGGTGTTAAGTTGTATGCCTGCTTATAAAAAACACCATATTTCAATCCAAATTTTCTTTAACACTGGTTGAGAAGAAGGAGCAACATGACTGTGCAGCTATTTTAAAGCTCCAGTTTTTGTGACACTGAGGTCGAATCGTGAAATATTAGTACGGTACATTAGACTTTAGGCTTTGTTTGGGTGTATTTTCCAGCTAATGGGCTCCAACTACATTATTTAGAAGCAGCTGGTGATTATTTTCCCCAGTTTGTTTAAACATCTGTTCTAAAAGCTACAGTAAATGATGCTCAGCGCAATTTTGCTCTTAGGGATAAAAATAAAGAGCAGCTTTTAAAAGAGGTTATGATAAAGCATTGTTTGCTTCAAAAACGGCTCATTAATAAATATTATTCAGTTAAATGTTATAAACCCTTCAGATCATGCCTTGGGAGGCTTCTGTCATCTGAGATCTGAAGTGTTTGGTTGCATAAGCGCCTCAGCTGGACGAGGAGTGGGCTGCAAAGTCGTGATTTCATCTGCCACTCAGACAAACACATCTTGATTTTTAGTTCATATCCATCAGATACGAACTAAAGCAGATATCTTGCACTGAAATATACTGTTAAAAACCTCCATGATAATCAACTCGCTTTGGTAAAGATTTCTGTAAAAGGATCTTTGATTGCACAAGATTTTTTAAATTTTAGTATTTTTCATAAGGGAAAGACATAAATATGTTTTTTATTGTTGGCACACATCCTATTAATTATACACCAACATTTTCTATGAAAAATATTCCACTATTCCACTAATCCAACACCATACTTTCCAAAAGGTAGAGGGACTTTTCCACATATTTATGATTCATGTCAGACACAACTGGGATGCTTGTTGCTGGAAAGCTCTGTTTTAGTTTCATTTATAAGCAGAAAAAGTTCCAGTAGAGTGAAATAACCCCCCCTCCGCCTTCACGTTTGTGATGATAAGACAGCAGAGGCCTTTTCCTGATTTCTATGCCCAATAGATGGTGTTTCAATGTTATGACCCCCGGAAGCCACCTTGCTGCAGACCTGTTACAGTGAGCTTAGGAGATGATTTCCTCCTTCAACACTCTACCTCCTCAGCCTTTGTTTGATCAATTTGAAGCCTTTTACTTATTTCTGTAATTGTAGATATTTTGTGAAATGGCCTGTTCTCCTCTCTTCCTCATACTGAAGATTGACTTTAGCAAAATTTGGTATTGAAGGTTGGATTTCACTTTTTTCTATGTGGTATCCCGCTACAGTAATAATAGATAAATGTATTAATGATTAATTTACCAGCTGGTAACGTAATTGTGGAGAATGATGTGAGATGAATGTAAAATACAATTAGACAGAAGTGAAGAACATTGTAATGTTCTCAGTTTTTTTTTCTCCAAAGCTTTGACCTCCTGTTCAGTGTTTATCATGAATTGTGTGCGAGTAGCTGGAAGCAGCGTTCAGCTTTCAGTCTTTATGTGGAGGTTTTAATTCATCAGAGGATTAATGACGCAGAAGATTTTTATCTGTTTCAACCAGACAGACAGCACACTGCCAGATAAATATGATATTAGTCATACTTAGAATATCTCAGACAGAAAAAAACCCCGTTATCATCTGAGTTAAATGGTTTATGGCCGTGCCTTAAGAGTTTATCTGTTTATTTATATGAGGGCTGTGTTCTTTGAGGTTATTAATGTCCGTAAAACTTTCAGTCAGGATGAGGAGAAGCTGTGAGGAGGCAATGTTTCTGCCTGGGTTCCACGCTCTCCGTCCGCCGAGGCCTCCCACGCTCACACTGTGTGCTGTCATGGTGATTCAAGGCTGCCTGGAGGCGGCGGCGGCTGCTGTGATCGCTCAGCTTTCTGTACCAGTAGTTGTGTTTGGGGGAGACTGATGGCAGATTCCGTTTGGAAAAGTTTAACTTGACAGAGATTAATGGCAGAGGAGGATCAGAGCACTTAAATCAAAGCTGGTTTGAGCAAAATAAGCATCAGTGAAATGAAGGGAAATGAAGAGGCTCTACTGCTACTGGAGGTCAGCTATCATGGTGAATACCCAACAAAAAACAGCTCTCGTTTAACGTAAAGACAACATCTGGGATGTTGGTTTAACTAATTTTACATGTCATGTAAACAAGAGTTAAAAATGAGGGAATTTCTGGAAGGTTTTCCTTAAATTTCCCAATTAACTGCAAAACCTATTTCAAAAATATTACAGCCAGTTACAAAGGTTGGTCCAAGTTGGGGAATCTAGCTGTTATTTTGCTGAACTGAGATGTGGAAATAAAGTCTTGCAGAAAATGCAGAACGCCTCATCTTGACCGCATCCTTTTTCTTGTCACTGTGGTTAAACAGGCTTACAGTCAGAAAATTCAATTTCAATATATGAGACTTTTTATATGATTTTAGTCATTTCTGTGCATTGAGGACTATTGATTATGTTACATTGTTGCCGTTTTTGCTCTAGAATGACTTTTTTGCACAACGTATGCATGTCCAGAACAGCAGAAACTGAAATATCTGCATGATTCACAACCAGCCAGAACCTTCTTTCCAGCGGAGCTATCATTACCCTTAGTATAGTACCCTTAAAGTATTGATCTTTAGCTGCTGAAAATGTCGTGTTTTCCTAATTTTTAAATCTCCCACAGTAAAATCCACAAAGCAATACAAGTTCCTAAAATTGTATCATTATTGCACATCCTGTTGTATTGGAGCAGCAAGTATCTATTCTCTCTGCAGCATTTCTCTAGTCACAGATCGAACTCCTGATCTTCATGGTTCGGATCCAGAGTTCAACAAATACATAAACCGGTGTTCAAACTTTTAGAGAAGCAAATATCTTCGTGAAATTTGCTCCATAGTTCTGATGGTCTTCTATTGGTTGCAGTTATTTTTGTGTGTATCTCATTAAGCAGCGTAAAAGAAACCAGACTACTAAAATCAGGCCTTTGTGTGGCTCTAAATTCTATTTAATTCTGAACATTTTAGGATTTGCTTAACGTTTAAGTTTATATCTGATTTAATTGATTTGTATCTGAACTCAGCAGTAGCCTCAAACCACTTGGAGTTCCCTGATGTTTAAAATGTCTCCTCCCCTAGGTGTGATCATCGTGCCCAGTGCCGGCGTGGGCATTGTACTTGGCGGCTACATCATTAAGAAGCTGAAGTTGGGGGCTCGGGAGTCGGCCAAGCTGGCGATGATCTGCAGCGGGGTGTCACTTCTCTGCTTCTCCACGCTCTTCATCGTGGGCTGTGAAAGCATCAACCTCGGAGGGATCAACATCCCCTACACCACCGGGTGAGCGAGGGCATGGGAGAGGCGGGCATTGCTGTTTTATATTAAATCTTAGATAAAGGTTTGGAGAGGAAAAACGAAAAACAGAAGTAAAGAGGAATGTAACACATGGATATGATTTCATAAATCAATTAATCAGGCTGTATCTTTAGCCCTGCTGGAAGGTAAACCCCATCATGATGTCTACCACTCAGGTTGATTTGCATGAAGACCAACCAGTTTGATCTGGTTTCATATGCGTACTGCCTGTTGCTCTATGGGGTAATAGTTATCCTGGGAATTGGTTCTTCCATCTATGAATTTCTGCAGCTCCTCCAAAGTCACCATGCCCTGTCGATTCAGGTGGATGTCCATATCTTGGTACTGTAGTTTTGCTGTTCGTCCATCCTCTCTACATGTTCAAATGATGGAACAGAGACCTGTTACATGAAACTTTTAGATAGTATTTAACTGTTTTACCTCTTCAGCTTTCTGTCTGCTGGACTCCGTGGTCTTCACAATGTTTGTTCTCCAATGTTCTCTAGAACAAGGCTCTTGAAACCTTCAAAATACAGACTTAATGCTTCACTTTATGTGTTTTTTCTATCTTTAGTTTTTGTATTTATCTGTTCAAAGTGTAAAAGCATTGGAGATAAGGGGAAAGCTACTGAAGACTGTGTGAAATAGAAGTAAAGTTTCTAGAACAGCTTTTGCTCTTATCTGCAAAAGCAAATGTTTTTCTGCCTCATGAGATTTTTAAAATCCTTCCCTCCCCCAGTCTTTACTCTCATTCACCACCAGACAGAAAATCTGTAGAGTTTTATCTAATCCAGTTTTGTTTCCAGTTCATCTGTATATTCAGAGAGTCTTCAGATCAGTGCAGAGATTCTGCATTATGAGTCTGTAAACGGAGGCGTTTTCTGGTTGGAGTGTCTCTCAGTGAGATTACATGACTCAGATGGAGAGGGTCCAAGGACAGCTTGGGGACAGACGGTCTTTGGCTTCCCGCCTTGTCATTTCACGTGTTTCTTCCTCCATGTCCTCCGCTAGCACCTAGATGTCCTGCCTCTTTCATCTCCTCTTTTTTTCTTACTCCCTTTTATTTTAGTTATTTTATTTCCCTCGCTTCTTACTATCCACTTACCGTAATAATTTTCTTCCCTTTTTTCACCAAATCACACCATCTTGCAATGAGGTTCTTTTCAGGTCATTTACTGAAACCATCTTCATGGAATTGCAGCAAGTAGATGTGGCATCCTGAGGTTATTGCTCCTCACGTTACCCTGTCATACCCATATTAATCCTGTCTCTGACTGTGCATGTTCTCCTTCCCACAGGCCGACTCTCACCATGACTCAGAGGAACCTGACAGGAGGCTGTAACGTGAACTGTGGATGTAAGATCCACGAGTACGCTCCGGTCTGTGGCTCCGATGGGATCACCTACTTCAACCCCTGCCTGGCCGGCTGCAGCAGCGTGGCCAACGACAGCAACGGGGTAAGAAAGAGGTTCGAGTGAGGAAACATGCAGCTGCTGATACTGTTTGATTAATGATATAACAGCCACTAACCCTGAGAAAATATATGAAAAAATAAACAGAATAAAAAGCTTATTAAGAAATAAATCAAAATTTCTTTTGATTCAGCTAAATTTAAACATTAAATGACTTTAACAGGGTGGTATGATTATAAAGCATACCCATATCCATGTTTTTTGTAGCCATCCTGAAGCTTCCATTTTTAATCTAACTGGATGTTTAGTATCCCTCTCTAATGTTTTCGCTTTATATACAGTATATACAGTAATACGCTTTATTTATAGTGGCAATTTACAACACTTCATCTCCAGGCACTTTACAGAGAAAATTCAACCAGATTATACAGTCAGATTAGTTCAAAGTTTTCTATCTAAAGAGAACCAGCTGATTGCGTGACTCATGGACTTTGCAGGACAACCTCTTCCTGGATGAGCTCGTGGCGACAAAAGATATTCGCTTCCATTATGTCATTGACTCCACAGCATGCATGTAGCTTTGGTGGAGGGAAAAAACTCCCTTTTAACCGGACGAAACCTCCAGCAGAACCAGGCTCAGTGTGAGCAGCCATATGCTGAGGCCAGCTGGGTGTTCAAGAAGAGAGAAGCAGTCATACAAAACAAAGCATAGAAGCACTGATCCATGAATACTTTCTATGGCTAGGAAAGAAACAGCAGATGAGCTCTTGGCCAGTTTTCATCAAAGGGATGAAAGGGAGCACATAAAGTTAGGGGTTGTATTAACAAATACTGCAGAATGGGAGAATAGAGATAGAATGATGAAAAGTGGTCCCTATGTCCTCCAACGGTCTAAGCCTATAGCAGTATAAATATAATTATGTCTAAACTGAAAATCAAAAGTTACATAGAACATGAACACGCACCTTTGAATGTCTGATTGGGCAGAGTTACTACAGTCCAGATCAACTGGTTAATTTTGTGGCTCTGGACCATTGTTAAAGCAAATTGCTTGCTGATGAATGGTTTTCTAAAAAAACGAATGTTAGTCTAATTAATCCCTTTCAACTCCAGATGTCTAGAAATTGATCTTTCTATTATGATGGTACCATCACTGTACTTAAAAGCTGGTAGTGTTGTTTCGTTAGAAGACCTCATCTTGACCAATAATTTTTCTTGTCACTGTGGCTAAACAGCTCAAATAGATAACTGTGAAGATATTTTAATGAGGGAACCTACTTCCTGGTCAACTTCCTGATCAACCCCTTAATATGATTCAGTTTCCAGATCATTGTATGCTTACCAGACATTCAGACAATGTTGACAACACGTTTGTCATAATAAGTAGTGTTGCACGTATACTGATACAAGTATCCAGAAGGGCTGCTGCACTAAAATGGTGGTATCGGTATCGGCGTGTACCGACAAATAGGGCTATATTCCAGGTAGGCAATAAAAAGTTCAACTGGATTCACTTTGCATTAGTCTTTTTCCTGCTTTACAAAGGTAGGCAGCAGCTTGACAAAGCCATGATGGCAATTATTTTACATCCAAGTAGAACACAGTTCTTCATATTTATACACACACATCAATTTCAAACAGATGGTATCAATATGGTATCGGTATCTGCCTATACTGCACAGCTAGGTATCGGGGCAAAAAAATGGCATCTGCACAACACAAATAATAACAGGGTTAAATGTGATTATCGTGGCATTTAAAATGCTTTATTAAAAAAAAAAAAAACATTTATGAAAACAATTTTGTAAGAAAAATCAGTTCCAAGTGTATATCATATTCCACATATTTTCCACAATCGTAAAGCCGTATGTTCGGTAAAGTAGGTCAAGGCAGAGCAACAGCTAGAGAATGGGAAGACGCAAATTTCAACAAAAGTGGCTGAAAAACCATGAATTTGGGACATTGCTGCAGCCATGTTGCCATGTTTTATATATATATATATATATATATATATATATATATATATATATATATATATATATATATATATATATATATATATATATATACATATGTATATATATGTATATCTATATATACGTATATATATACGTATATATACGTATATATATGTATATATATATATAGATATATATATATCTATATATATATATACATATACATATATATGAAGGTCATGGGTACTTGTTGATGGCATTTAAATTTGTTCTAAGCTCATTAAATGAGCATTAAAAAGCATTAAATTAGAGTTACCCATTCCTGTATAAACCCTGAATAAGACAGTGATTCCAAACGCACATATAATGCGGTTTTGGATTCACATCAGTCCCAAATGAAGCTTCAGTGGTCTGCTTCATAAAGTCAAGTCCTTAATGAGTTTAGAATGGGCTTAAAATATTCTGTGTCTGGAAATCAAACATTTCTGGTGCAAAGAAGACTGATGTATCCAAGCCGATTTATGCCAGAGGATTTTTGATGGCTACAGGTAGATTATAGTCATGGTTAAATTTGCTAACAGATATTTAATTGATATTAACACAAAAGTAAATGTATTTGAGCTTGTTTGGATGAATTAAACAATGGGGATTAAAGAAAGTCGATGATATAATTAAAGTTGTATGTTGTTCAGTTATCCCTCGCTGGAGAAAAACAAGTCAAAATAATGTCTTAATTTCCTTCCTATATGTCAGACTGTGCTGCACTGACTTACCACTTCATTTCTGGTGTGTTTTAAAGGTTTTATCTTTCATCCCTCTTCTTGTGTTCAGATCCGGAACTACTCAGACTGCGCCTGCGTCCAGAGCCGGCAGGTCATAACGCCGCCGTCCAGCGGTCAGGGCAGCAACCAGCTGCAGCTCGTCATCGTCAAAACCTACCTGAACGAGAACGGCTATGCCGTGTCAGGGAAGTGCGATCGCACCTGCAATACCCTCATCCCGTTCCTCATCTTCCTCTTCATTGTCACGCTCATCACCGCCTGCGCCCAGCCCTCTGCTATCATCGTCACCCTCAGGTAAATAATACTCCTTCCTTCTCTGTTTTCTCATTGTTATTTCTAATCACAGAGGGTTCAGACTTTGGTTTGGTTATCTCGTTATAATAAACGCAGCATCTTAAGGTTACATCCAGCTCAACAGTGTTGCAGAGTTAACAGTGTTATTTATTTCTAAAGTTTATTTCTAAAGTTGAAAGAGTTTTCCTCTGGAGGTTTGGTGGTGTCTGTTTTTCGTAGGAAACTGTGTTAGAATCTGAGGCTTTTGAGGGGGTAACACAGGTGAAGTTGAAAACTAGACATTTATTGATAGAAACAATCTGTCCATTAATCTGTCAAATAAACAACTTGACAGTCCTTAAACATCATATTGTCTATGTCCTAAACTCATTCAATCTATTTAGCTCAAACTGAATATTAAGCTCTATTTTTGTTTTAAATCCCAACGCTCCTTGAACTTGTTTTGTCATTACTTGCCCAGTGAGGCTGTTTTTTTTTTTATTACAAATTAAACTTGCAGAGTTAAACACAACTTTGTTGGGCTGCCTTATTTCAATCATGAATAGTATTTCTCTAAAATATTTATGGTAATTTGAACTGGTATAAATTTTTAAACCTCCGGATTAAATAATGTCTTCTTACATTTAGAAAGGAGTATCTTAGATCCATTCACAGATATCCAAAATGATTTAGACTGATTTCCGTAGTGCAGATATTTACTGGTGGGTCATATTTATCTATATGTTGAGACTTAATTAATTTATTGAAACAGTTATGTTCTAAAAATAATTACTTAACATTATTTTACATTTTCTTCTATGCTTTTCATATATAAAAGCCAAAATTCATGAGAAAAAAAACAAAAACACAAATTGATATATAAAACAAAAAACAACAAATGTACGATTTGTGACAACTAGGGCTTTACTAGATGAAGTAAAAAAAAAACAGCCTGTCTTAAAAAATACACTTCCTCAACTTCTCCCCAAATGTATGTTATATTTATCTGGACTCACCCTAGACTGCATTGGTGCAAACATCACTTCTTTGTCCATCTTCATCTCTTCCACAGGAGGGTACAGAGGCTGTGTGCAGTCACATGTTAAACTATTGTAGGAGTAATTAAATTGAATATATGAAACTTATATATCTTCCTTTAACCCTAAACTCAGTCTATCAAGAGACGGAAATGTTCCGTAGGACCAATGAAAACTATTTCTTATACTAAAATGTTATTATCTAAACATTCCCTGTTAACACCGCCTGCTGCTGGTAGACCTCAGTAAAGAAACCAGCTGTTCTAAGAGTGGCGCATCCAAGTACATTAATGGAAAGTTAAGTGGAAGGAAAAGGTGTGGTAGAAAAAGCAAAGAACAACAAAGATAAATTTTAAAGCGACTGTGAAGTAACAGCAGTAACACTAAGCTGCTGTGTGGCTTTTCTTCTCTTAATCTTTACGTCTCTGTGTGCTGCAGGTCTGTTGCAGAGCAGGAAAGGCCTTTTGCTTTAGGGATGCAGTTTGTTCTCCTCAGAACTCTAGGTGAGTGGAAACCAGTAGACTGCTCAGATCTGAGGATTCAGAGGGATTTTGTTTTACTGTCTTCCTTCTTCCCATAAATATTCTTCTTTTTTTCTTCCTCTCTTTTCTTGCCCCCAGCTTACATCCCAACACCAATCTACTTTGGTGCGGTCATTGACACCACCTGCATGCTGTGGCAGCAGGACTGCGGCGTCCACGGCTCCTGCTGGGAATATGACGTCACCTCCTTGAGGTTTGTCTACTTCGGCTTGGCCGCCAGCCTCAAGTTCCTCGGCTTCCTCTTCATTTTCCTCACCTGGTACTCCATCAAGTACAAGGAGGAGCGGGTGGAGCGCTGGCTCAAACGGCATCTGTCGCCCGTGGACACCGTCGGGAGTCTCGTGTGCCACCCGGGGGGCCATAAGGGCCACGCCCGCACCCGCTCCTGTCCCGTCAACATCCCACGCACCGACCACGCTATGCCTCACATTAACGGCCCTCTGCGCGCTGGCGCCCTTAACCGAGGTGTTAGTACACAGAGTTGTCCTGGCAATGAGCTTAAAGCAATAACTCCTCCCCCTCCTCCGGCAGGTTCGCCTGCAGCAGCCGCCTCCACTCCCGCTCCAGCTCGCTCGCTGGAACACGTTTCAGTCAGAGTTTAAATCCTTGAAACTCAGCCCAGAACCGTTTTTTGGCCCATGACTCCCCTGTCTTGGTCAGAACCCATCCAGAGGCCCAGATTTATTCAAATGTTGGGCAGACCAGAGAGCTCAGAGAGCTTTATGTGAGGAAAAAAAAAAAGAGAGAGAGAGAGAGAGAAATCTGCTTGAGAGGTTTTCTTTGTGATGCAGCAGCTGGTGCATTGAGCAGAGAAAAGCTCCCGTCTGGATGGATGGTAGTTCACTGATCATAAATCCCACCCACACCCCGGCTACATGTGCCTTCTGTCACTTCAGCCCTCACATGTGCAGAACAACCAGAAATCAGCCCGACAGACTAGAAGACTCTCCTGAATGGATACCTCAGCTTCCCCCTAACATCTGCGTACTACTTCTTCTTCATTTTCTGTTTTTCTGTCTTCACCGTCACGCAAGCAATGTTTGTCCTCTTCAGAACAAAAATTATTTAAAAAAAAGAAACAAAAAAAAAACTCCTGGAAATGTGATACAGGATGATTTAGTGTCAGGAACTGGAAACCGATGGCATGGTGCTATGTGAAAACAGTGTTTAGAGTCCAGGTTTTCTCTCTTGTATGTTTTAACAGTCTAAATGCAGCTTGCAGGTCAGCAGGCCGAGCAGAAGAACAGGTTTCTGTCCAGTGGAAGGCCTTTTGTTGTTCCCTCTAAGGGGAGGAACCACTAGTGGTCTGGTTTCCTCTTTGCCAGCTCTGTCCATTGCATCCATACATCTCAGCAGTGTTGCACAACCCACTAAGCTGCTCATTCTGAGCAGAATAGGATCAGCATCTGTCCTCCTGACTACAATCCTGGAGAAATGAGCCACCTGCAGTCTGTTGATTGAGGAAAGGAAGAAAGCTAGAAGGACATTACTAAGATATTCTATTGATAACAGAAACATTTTTACTGAAAACAAGCAGCTGAGCGCCATGAAGCGGTCCTGATGAAGTTATCTCCTCATTATCAGCAGTGAAAGGAGTACGCTGTCTAAATATGCAGGCTGAGAGCTTTCCTTCCCTCCATAATGGCAGTTACATTTTTTTTAGTCTCTATTGATCTTCCTTTTGGAAAAAATGAGATAAATTCTCAGTATCACACTTTGTGATACTGTTCACTACAGTCTCACACAGAATGATCTCCGCTCTTATCAGTCAAAAGCAGCTGGATCGAAGTAACAGAAAAAAAACCTCTCAGTCTGAAAATCATTTATGATGCTCCTATCCTCTTAGTGCTCGCAAACAAGGTTTATCCACACTAAGTTGCTCTGCTGCAAGTCTGAACAGGTTTGATTTCCGCTTGAGGAAAAATTCCTGCAGATCTTCTCTGTCTAAGATTTCCGCAGAATCGCTTAGAATGCAATCTAAAAAGTATGAAATTAAATTAAAATGGTCATTATTTAGGCACATTAGGTGAGCAACAACTTTATTGCCCCTAGCAAGTAGCAGAGATAGCTGTGGCGCAATTTGGAGGTGTGTTAAATCTCAATTTTAAAAACTTAGCTAGAATATAAACCTTAGAGAATAATGCTTTATCTTTTATAGTTGAGCCTTTATTTGTTTAATAACCTTAATTAGTATATATTTTTTTAATCTAGCTGATCAATTAGTATTTGCTTAGCGGTTGTTTCGTTGATAAATATTTAGATGAATAAGGCCTATATAGAGCACTGGATGGGGTTACGCAATTTTATATGAGTGTCCGAATGTCGAGTGGATGAAAAAGTAGTGAACTCAAGATTTCCTACGATGCGTCTTGAAAAGTAGTTTCATCCATGGTCACTAGAGGAGCAGATATATCTCAAAAGGCTTTGCAAGAGCTCTCCTTACAAAGCATAATGGGATTTATTTTCTGGGTGAGAGAGAACAAAGATGGTGCAGGCAAGGTGCGGGGAGACAGAGTCACGTGACCAATAGGGAGCGAAAACTCGTGGTCATTTCATCTGTTAGCTGAGTGCGCTATAAAGCCCACTATATAGTCTCTGCTCTATATAGTGATGGAGGGGTTAGGGCGGACGTTCAGACACAGCTATAATCTCATGCAGTACTTTTAGAGGTTAAATGGTAAGATTTTCAAAAAAGGAAAAGATTTGTTGAAACAGTCCCGATATGCAGGAGTACTGTATGCATAGCATACTGTTTTATAATCACATTTGTGACAATTCAAAATAAGTGCTTCTCAAACAGGTTCGAGAAACTGCTCAAATAAGAAGAAGCTGTTGCTTTTTTCTTGTTTTGTGTATCATTAGGCCCGCAAGGACAGATGTACTACGATTATTCCCAGAATAATTTCCCATCAGTTATGTGATGTAGCTGCAGCGCCAAGATCATTGTAGGGTAGGGCCATACAATGATCTGAGGTAGGGCCAAACATCAAACTGAAAACAGCGCCACCCAGTATTTATTTCAAAGAGTACTAGAAACTCTTTTGATGCAGTATGCTAAAAGACTAAAATAAGGCGAGCATTGTCATTAACCAATAAAACCTTAAAAACCATTACCCACTTAAAATAATTGGGCCTAACACTAAATGATACACTAAAATGTAAAATTGTAAAGGGTCATGAATAAGACCAGAAACACAGAGGCAGAGTTTGGAGCATCTGTGTGTATTCTTCTTCTTCTTCCAGCTGCTGTAGTGAGCATCCCGTACGGGATGATGGTTTGCCACAAACCAATTCTCTCGACAGTGAAGTAAAACTCAGGGCAGTCCCCTGTCCACACCACACACAAGTTTGCAAACTGCAGCAGCTGGCACATTGTGCCAGGTTAGTGAAGTGTCACTAATGCCCATGGGCAGAGAAACTCTTCCAAACGGTTGTGAGGATCGTCGTAGCCTGGCTTCACCCCGTCTCTCATGCAGCTGCATCTGCTGCTCAGTGTTGTCTCCACTCTTCCGTGCCATCGCCCTTTCCCAGCCTTTTAAACCATCTCCATGAAATGCTGCCTTAAATGGCCTTTCAAACTCATTGCTTATTGGGCAACAATGTACCACACATACAAATGCTCACAGGATTAAAAACAGGAAGTCAAAATGCACAAGTAGTATACTAAGAAAACACTTTGAAAATATCACTCTGAAATCAATATACACAACATACAATGCAGAGGGTGCAGTGCTTAATAGTCTTTCTGTGACTAATCCATCCTGTCCTGCCTACTGTGGAATCCACAAACAAAAACATGGTATTACTTACTGTAACAGGAAATTCCACAGGGAAAAACAGGAACTATGGACAGATGCCGGGCCTCATTCCTGCTTCATTTTTTAAGTGTTCTTCATGTGAAAAATGTCGGACGCTGCTGATCAGTCCACATAGAGCGTCATCTATTTAAGCAGAAACAAGTAAAGTGTTAAAGTTAAATCTTTTATCATAATTAAATCTCGTTTGTAAAGGACGCCAGTCCCTCCTGGAGCTGAACCTGATGCTACACAGAAAATGTTCCACTTACAGCTGATTAAAAAAATACATTTAAGATAATTATACAACAGAGCAATAAAAAGGTTTTGATACAGAAAAGTGGGCTTGATGTAACATATGAATACCCACTTAAAGGTTTGTATTGACCATTGGTAATTATAATGCTTTAAAATGAGCCTTATTAGATGGGATAGTCTGATTTATTGAATTTTTCTCCTGAGGTTTTCTTATGTGGTTTGAAATCCTGATGGTGGTAAGAAGTTCTATCTAGACATGTTTTTGTGGCGGCAGAGTTCAGAAGGAAGCTCCTAGGCAAGGATCTGTAGATCCCCCACCTCCTAGTGGCTGGCACTCTATTGCCACATTTACGCCACCCCTCTGAAACCGATCCGTGCCGAGATCGGACCGAGCCTGGATCAGTTAACCGTGCTGAGCTTGGTTCCTTACGACCATTTACGCATCACGCTAGCACGGTTCCTTGCCTCCTATTGGTGGTCCACGATACTACAGCTCTCAAGGCGGGAATAACGCAACAAAAAGGGTGGCGCTCATAACATTCAGGAACTTATGTGCCTGGATTGCGTCCTCCGCCAAAATTTAAATGAGAGCCTCAGTCTCTGCATAATCCCAGGTCGCACCACGCTCTTTTAAAGCCATTTATTGTGAAAAGGCTTAGAAGAAGTTCGTGTTGTGGACAGATGAAGAGAGCTGTGAATTACAAAGCCGGACATGGCGGAAAACCTGTGAAATGAGTCAGCTGACTGTAAATAGGGGATGATGTGGTCTGCTCATGCGCTCTTTGTTATCAGAGAACCGAGCTACAACTGAGCCGTGCTGAGCCCTACTGTTTAACTAGTACTAGATCTACCGCTGTTCAGTTGTGTCTGGCATGGTCCAGTTCAGTTGCGTTACATTGACACTCAACAGTTATCTCGGCTGCCGTGCTTTGACTGTTCTTAGCGCGGTTTCAAAAGGGTAGTGTAGATGGGGCTTAGGACAACCAAGCGGGTGAAATATAGTGTAATCCTAAATTGCTGTAGGTGAGGGTTTAGGGTTAGGGCTATTACTGCACAATTAATTTCACTGTGCTGCTTGGACTCACCTGCATCAGTAGTTTGGCAGAACAAACACATGGCATAGAGTTGACTTGTTGACTCCACATCTCCCACCTCTACCCCAAGCACCATTACCTGCAAAAATAAGGAGCAAAAAGGGCCAGTCTTACCTCAGCCTCATGCACCGTAACATTCAGAATACAATTTAACTGTTGAAGATTATCTACTAAAGACCGTAACAGGATGAATACCTGTCTCCCAACTGCTTTAAATTGGAATTGAAAATGAAACCCTTACTCTTAGTTTCTCGCTTTATCTGGGGACGGGTCATGGGGGCAACAGTCTCAGCAGAGACTCCCAGACTTCCCTCTCCACAGACACCTCTTCCATCTCTGCTGGGGGAAGCCCAAGGCGCTCCCAGGCCAGCCGAGAGACATAGTCCCTCCAGCGTGTCCTGGGTCGTCCCCTGGGCCTCCCCCCGGTATGACGTGCCTGAAACCTCTCCTGAGGGAGGCATCCCAGGGGCATCCGAAAATGATGTCCGAGCCACCCAAGAAATCGGGGCACGTGATGCTCCCCGGTGTAGAAAAGCCAGGACCCCACCCTGGAGCCAGTCTGTGGTTGGGGTTGGTCGGAGAGAGCCTGGTGGTCTGGTTCTCATGGTACACGGCCAGGCCCAGCCTGAAGTAATGACACAAGGCCATCCCCCAGTGGGCCCACAAACTTTAGGGGGAACCATGAGGGACAGGTGCAGAGAGGATTGGGCAGCAATCAGAATCGAAAGGCCTCGTTGATGCGCAGGCATCTAAACTGAAATTAAAACTCTATTCATTTATTGAGGTCAAACTAAAGGAAATTTGTGTTGTTTTTCTTTTTTGTAAAATATATAATATATATATTATATATTTTTTTCAATTCTAGAAACTGTTGGTGCAGTCTTAACCCATCATTGGCCCAAGCTGAGTAAAATTCACGTTTTAAAGTTTAGGTTTGGTGTTAAAAAGAGAATCCAACAACTAATGGACATACTTTTATAAAATATAATCAGATGAGTATCATTTTGAATCCTCAAACTGATTCACCTTAAATATTGGCTCCAGGTGACTTCTGTGTGGAAATGTAATGATTCAAATTATTCTAGTTGTTTTTTGTGTGAGATTTTACCTCATTCAAGGAGAGAAATTCAAAGAGGTTCTCAGATTGACTACTTACCTTCTATCTTTTATTACATTATATAATTTACTTCACTGAATTAGTTCTTGTTTCCAACAGCAGCAAACCCAGTCCTCAGATTGAAACGTTATCTGGGGACACCTGCTGGTCAGAAGAGAAACTGCATGAAAAAAAACAAAACAGGACACTTACAGTTTAACATGTGAACCTTCCTCTGCAGATTTTCTTACACAGAATTGAGCAAACTATGTTAAAATATAAAGACTGCAGATCATGCTGTTACTGTTACCTTGTTTTCCCTGCTGAAAGGACAAACCATTTATTCAATCCATCAAACTGCAGATGGTGATAAAAATAGGAAGCTTCTGTAATAATTCAGTTGTCTTGTAGATTTAAAATATTTTACATATAAAGGACAGAAAATTGCAGTTTAATGCGAATTTAGAAGCAGGGAAATATTTTCTGTTGCAATTATGTTTTTCATCAGTTAAGAATAAAAATACCTTTTAAGGTGGCAGATTTACTGGCGCAAATTTTGGATCAAATATTTAAAAATGAAACCGTCTCCTCATTATATGATCATATTTAAATAGGCTGTTTCTATTTGCTGATGATTATTAATTATTATGTTTTTTTTTTATCTCAGTAATTTCACTTTAAGACAATCAAAAGATATTTAGTAATATGGAGGTGTGGAAAATTGTAAAATAAACCTCGTGATTTTTTTTTTTTGTACTGCAGCAATCTGTGAAAAAAACTTAGAAATGTTAGAGATAAGCCTAAAGTTGTACTTAAAAATAAAAATCTAAAAAGATTTCCCATCTGACCTTGTTGAAAAGGTCCAATCGAATTATTTTAATAGAACGTTTTTCCACTAGAATGTTTTCACATGCTTTAAGTAAAAATTTGGGTAATTTGGGAATTTAGTTTCAAAATTAAATTTCTAGTTTCTGTTCTATTTAAACAAGACGGGCACTGGATCCATTTGATTTCTGTTGTTTTCACCTGTTCCATTGTTGGTTTGAACCTGAATATTGCAAAGTAAATCCATAATATATCTGTGCCATTTTATTTCTTCTTTAGTGTTTTAATTTATCTAGAATTACATATTACACTTAAATTTTTTGTGCAAAATGTTTTGTTCTCTGAGTTGTCTCCTGTTGTCTACTGTCCAAAAAAAAGTCATGTTTCTGTGATTATTTTTTTTTTTTTCATATTTGCAGGTACAGACTTTTACCAAAAACCTGCAAACTGCCTCAAACTTCAGTATTCTTTCTTTCTTTTTTTTATTTACTGGTTGCGACTTTAACAAATTCTGCAATTGAAGTCTTGCCTGTTGTCAAGGATTTAAAGATACGGTCATATCCTGTTTTATTGCAGGGAAAAAAGCAAATTAAAATTGATGCATATTTCTTCACCATTGTACAATAAATGTCCCTTTTTGATGCAACAGGAGCTTTTGAGATAAAGGTTGCAAACCTTTCCCGTTCTTTGTGATAAAAAAAAAAAAACTAAGAGTGTTCATCTCATAATGCTGTAAAAGAAGAAAAAAATCAAACCTGATGCCTAGTTTCAGTATTAAACACTTTAGAAGCAGTAGAATGAAGTAAATGTGCAGCACGACAGTCTGTCTACATGTGCAGGAAATAGAAACTTTAGTCTCGTGTGTATTTAATCTGCTGTTTGTTCTCTGCCTCCGCCGCTCATGTCTCACTTTTCACAATAAAACGATTCACAGGATGATGCCGCTGTTTGATATGTGAAAACTCATTTCAATAAAAAAAAACAGGCCTACAGTAAGGATCTATAACAAAGTGTTCTTCACCTTGAGAAACTTAAAACTCCTGCTCTGAGACGGTAAAACATTCTGATTTTCCCACAGTCATTGATCTCCACATGGGTTCATCTCATTGTTCCAGTCTGATCGAGGGCTGAAATCACTACTCTCTTTTATCTGTAAAAAAAAAAAAAAATAGTTTTTTTTTTTTTTTTTTACTTGAAACGCAGCACTGGTGAGAGACAGGATGTGGACACACCATTCACAGCTGCCTCCAATTCCTGATTTCTGTTAAATAAAAATGTGACAAACAGAATAAAATAGTATAACATAAAGCTTTTGTGTGTGCATTTTTTTTTACTATATATGTTTTTTTTGTTCTTTAAACTTTTAGGACGTACCAACCCTGTTGAATAGTCTTAAATCACTTCAGATTCTATCGGAAAAATCAGCCTAGGGTTTAAAAACATTGTTGGCACTAAGTACTTTAACATAAATGTGATTTATTCTAGTTTTAGCAGAGAAATAGTAAAATTTTACAGGGCAGGTATCATTGTCTGGAAGATGTTGCCTTTGTGAAAAAGGCTAATAAATGAAAAACACTCCCAGTGGTTTCTTATACCTCAGTGATATCAGTAAACCATATGTCACACCGAGTTGGGGCCTGATGGGGCAGGGCTCTGCAACCTGTGACTCTTTAGACACTTGAAAATGGCTCTTCATCACTTTGGCTCAAAATGATGAAGAACCAGCAAATCTTAGGGAATAAATCAACAGATTGACTAATTAAATAATTTGACTCTGAATGTAACAGAAATCTTTTAAACTCTTTTAAGTGGGAAAATGTTTTTATAAAAACAATTTCCAAAGATTTTAACAACAAATATCAAATATATTTATTCTGTTCTCAAGTTTTTTCCTTTATTTTAAATCTTCTGAAATGGCACAGTGATAAAAATTTGGGGGCGTTAAAAAAGAATAAATATTTTCTTTGCTGGACTGAATATAAAAATGGTTCTTTGGATTGTAAAGGTAGCAGACTCCTGTGATAGGGTGTGCCACTATTTGGTGTCCATGCCTTCATAGCAGTGACCTCTTTAATTCTATGGCTATAAAAAATGTCTCCTTTTATTAAATCTGCCTTTAGAGAAAAGTAACTATTACAGTATCTATATAGGCCATTATATTGATCTAGGCCACTCTGCATCTTTCCATCCTTTTCTCCTAACCTTATGACTCATACAGTGAAAATAATTACAAGGGACCTCTACTCTAACTAATCTAACATTTTAAGGAGATTAAAACTACACATTTACTATATTTAATAATCTCTGTACTCTTATCTATCCATTTGGGTATGAATGTATGAGCATGTCTGCCTTAGGTGGATAAAATAACTAGAAAAGCATTTTGTAAACTCATTTTTTTTTTTCAAAGATCCATTAAAAACTTATTAATGTGATCATTTCATTAATTATGCTATGACTTCCACCTTCCCTGGAAAATATAAATGATTTAAGATTTTTTTTAAATCCTTCTGCCCAATGGGAAGGGTAACAAACATGCTGTTGTAGTAAGATATGGCGTTGATGCTTAAGAAGTCAGGAAAAGGTGCAGTGGATTGCACTTTTTAACCTCTTAAAACCCTTAAATGGGGGTAATAATTCAGAATGCATAAAATTCCACCGCTAAAATTTTCACCAGCAGGTGGAGCCATTGCGCGCGGCTCCAAGCTGACACCAAAAGTTCCAAACCCCACAGCTCTGGAACGGTTATACAGGTGCTGGTCATAAAATTAGAATATCATGAAAAAGTAGATTGATTTCAGTAATTCCATTTAAAAAGTGAAACTTGTATATTATATTCATACATTACATACAAACTCATATATTTCAGATGTTTATTTTGTTTAATTTTGATGATTACAAATGACAACAAATGAAAATCTCAAATTCATCATATCAGAAAATTAGAATATTGTGAAAAGGTTCAAAATTGATGGCCCCTGGTGCCACACTCTAATCAGCTAATTAACTCAAACCACCTGCAAAAGCCTTTAAATGGTCTTTCAGTCTAGTTCTATAGGCTACACAATCATGGGGAAGACTGCTGACTTGACAGTTGTCCAAAAGACGACCATCGACACCTTGCACAAGGAGGGCAAGACACAAAAGGTCATCGCTAAAGAGGCTGGCTGTTCACAGAGCTCAGTGTCCAAGCACATTAATAGAGAGGCGAAGGGAAGGAAAAGATGTGGTCGAAAAAAGTGTACAAGCAAGAGAGATAACCGCACCCTGGAGAGGATTGTGAAACAAAACCCATTCAAAAATGTGGGGGAGATTCACAAAGAGTGGACTGCAGCTGGAGTGAGTGCTTCAAGAACCACCACACACAGACGTATGAAAGACATGGGTTTCTGCTGTCGCATTCCTTGTGTCAAGCCACTCTTGAACCACAGACAGCGTCAGAAGCGTCTTTCCTGGGCTAAAGAGAAACAGGACTGGACTGCTGGTGAGTGGTCCAAAGTCATGTTCTCTGATGAAAGTAAATTTTGCATTTCCTTTGGAAATCAAGGTCCCAGAGTCTGGAGGAAAAGAAGAGAGGCACTTCATCCACGTTGCTTGAAGTCCAGTGTAAAGTTTCCACAGTCAGTGATGGTTTGGGGTGCCATGTCATCTGCTGGTGTTGGTCCATTGTGTTTTCTGAGGTCCAGGGTCAACGCAGCCACATACCAGGACGTTTTAGAGCACTTCATGCTTCCTGCAGCTGACCAACTTTTTGGAGATGCAGATTTCATTTTCCAACAGGACTTGGCACCTGCACACAGTGCCAAAGCTACCAGTACCTGGTTGAAGGACCATGGTATCCCTGTTCTTAATTGGCCAGCAAACTCTCCTGACCTTAACCCCATAGAAAATCTATGGGGTATTGTGAAGAAGAAGATGCAATACACCAGACCCAACAATTCAGAAGAGCTAAAAGCCACTATTAGAGCAACCTGGGCTATCATAACACCTGAGCAGTGCCACAGACTGATCGACTCCATGCCACGCCGCATTGCTGCAGTAATACAGGCCAAAGGAGGCCCAACTAAATACTGAGTGCTGTACATGCTCATACTTTTCATGTTCATACTTTTCAGTTGGCCAACATTTCTATAAATCCTTTGTTTTTATTGGTCTTCAGTAATATTCTAATTTTCTGATATGATGAATTTGAGATTTTCATTTGTTGTCATTTGTAATCATCAAAATTAAACAAAATAAACATCTGAAATATATGAGTTTGTATGTAATGTATGAATATAATATACAAGTTTCACTTTTTAAATGGAATTACTGAAATCAATCTACTTTTTCATGATATTCTAATTTTATGACCAGCACCTGTAGCTAGAGGTCTGAAACTTTCTGCATTTGTGGCTGACATGATATAGAACAAATATAATGCAATAAAACCTGCATTTTCTCAAGAATGTCTTTATGACTGCTGTTAAAAAAGACCTATCATTTCTGAGAATAAAAAAACAACAACTCTGAGTCATGTTTGAACTGATGCAGGTTTTAATTCCTATATTAGGAAACTAGAGGGTGTTAGCTTTCAAATAATGTATTGCACATGTAATTTGGGCTTACAGTTCCTAACTTATTTGCTTTTCCATTTGGGTATGCAAAATAGGCGAGGATTACCCAAAATGGTTAAGTCAAAATGTCCCATAATCCACTCCCAGTCTCAGCTCCTTCTGTAAGCAAATGGAACATCTTCCCTGTCTGTGCATGACTTCTCTTGCTTCCTGCAGTCCAAAAATGTGGCTACATGTAAATGTTTACTCCAACTTGCTCACACCAGCTTTGTCCATATACTTCCACGGTACGTATAACATAATTTCATAAAACAAATCCGATGGAGGGTTAGTCTGTGCTACTGCGACTAAGCGCATCGCCAGGAGGAAACCTATGCAGAACATGCAAGCTCCACACAGATAGGTCTCTGTTAAGACAAGGACTCTAATCCTTTATAAAGCTCCCTATTGAAGAACTGCAGCAAAGAGGTGTGTTTTGTTTGTTATGTTTCCAACAAATAAACAAGTTTTATGGCTTACCATAGCTTGTGTAAACATTTGCAGTTCGCTCTGCTCAACTAGGACATGAAACTGGAATCATTCACTTTGGTAAGAGCAGACCAAAATTCAGCTTCCATCTGAATCTCATGTGAAACAAAAGATGAGTATTTTTCAGAGTCACACATGCCTACTGTTGAGTGTGGTGGAGGATCTATGATACTGTGGGCTGGTTCCTTTTCCAAAGAAAACTTCCTTACAACAGACAACATCTCTTAAATACCAGGCCGTTTTCAACTGTATCATGCTGCTATAGGCTTAGACGGCCGGAGGACATAGGAACCACTTTTTATCATTCATTAGTTCAACCACTAACGTTACACTACCTCTGCTTCTTCTCATAGAAGCTTAATCTAGTTTGTTCCAGTTTGGCTGTGATGCCTCCCCCAGAGAAAAGTATTAGCTGTGCTGCTGCCATCAACACCTTTATTTATAGATGTCGGAGCTTGGCTTGTTTTTCAGTGCAGTCCAGTTTCTCTGACTGTGACTAACTGTATGTCCTCTCTTTCATCCTCTGACAAGAGAGCTGGCTCAGAGCTCATCTGCCTGGCTGTGTTTCCTGTGGAGCTGGTTTACAGTTGCATTTTGTATCTATGCTTCTATCTCCTTGAACCCCCCTCGGCCGCGGCAGATGGCAGCTTATAGTGAGCTCTAGGGTTTTTTCCTCCTAAAAAGACTCTCCACTGTTGCTATGAGCATTTTTGGTGTGAGAATTGCTTTAGAGTCGATGCAACTAAACTGGTTTTCATTCGATAGAAAACTTTGAACCAATCTTACTGTATGATCTGGTCGAATTGTCTCTGTAAAGTGCCTTGAGATGACATGTGTCAATTGACGCTGTAAAAAATACACTGAATTGAATTAACTCGTGTTAGTATCTGTCAGAAAACTGTAGACCAAGTTATCCATGGGTCCTTTCGCAGGATAACTATACAAATCAGTATAGATATGATTAAACAGACAGGACTTCAACCTTCTTCGACAAGCATCTCAGTTCCAGACCTAAATAGAAAAGCTGTGGGCTGGGAGGGAAACAAGAGAATATCTAAAAACAGCAACACTCAAGGTTTCACCTTTTATTGATTTGTTTTACAGACAAGCTTTCCATAAAAACCAAAGTTTGGAAGGCATGCATGTAGACATGTATAATTATACTGTGTTACTCTTTTCTTCCCATCAGCAGCTTTTAAAAGCACAGTTTGATATATTTTATATATATTTGTTACACACAGTGCAGGATCCCTGACTGCAGCAAGCTTGAAGCTCATTTTCTCTTAAATACTCTTTATAGAATCTGTAATGTTGAAAGCAAACTTCTGCAGTGGCCCGTTCAGACTTCAGTCCGTAGCTCCAAACTGGTCCACCAACATTCCTTCATCAAATCACAGATTTTAAGTTACAGTAAATTCAAAAAACAAATTCAGATTAAAGTAAACATGGTGCAGATGTAAGACAAAGCATCAAGAACATGTAAAACAAAATGTGATCGTTTTAATTTGGCTGACAGTGGAAAAAGTTTTATTTTTATAAGAAAAAAAGAAAAATAGTTCCCTTTATTCAACCAAACTTTTAAGTGCATTTTGTATAAAAATGAATTCCCTTTAAGGTCCATACAGATGGTATAAACAGCTAAAACCTGAAGTCCTGACTGAAAAGGATATCAGCAGCAGCACTTGAAGTATCAGTGTGTGTAGAAAGCCGATATTATAACCAAGATGTCTGATATGAATATACCAGGACCGTTCAAAGAATGGCAGAAGGTGTAAGGCAGAACGTCCTCAGCAGATCGACAGGAACAGGAGAACACGGCCTTCTGATGGAGACGGGGCCCTGGGGACACAAAGGAAAGAGACCAGGCTCACCCAGGAATCTTTAACCTTTCCAAATCTTACCTTTAAACTGCTTTCCTTCTATATTCAGCCTTATAACTGAGACATTTCATTTGGTTATCCTTTAAAATACATCTATTCTAATTAGTTTCCCCTTCTTGACATAAAACTGCTATAAATAGAGCAGTGCTAAGGTGTTTAATATGCAGCAGAAAAGCCTCCAATCTTTCCTTTTGTTTAATAACTGAAGGCCGGGCTTTTTCAGTGGCAAAGAACAGCCAGTCCTCTAACCTTGCAGATGCTGTAATTAAAAAAACAGCTACATTTAAATGTACTCTACTAAAACAAGGTTATGATTGGATTCTAAAAATCACATTACTAGGATTTATGGCTTCTTCCTCAGTTTGATGCCGAGTTTATCTTCTATGTGCTCTAAATAAAGCTCCCCAGTGCTATAAATGTCTCCTGTGATTAATTGGTGTATGTATTAGGATATTAACATATTTATTAGAACTGTCGGAGGTGTGGGTCTCTAGTCAGAAAACTCCCGTGTCAAAAATGACAAGGAGAGAAATGCAAGAACTTTTTCTAAATAAGAAACTAATACAAAAAAAGGGCTAAGCTGAAAAAGAGAAACAATCAGCTTTGATCTTAGTTTTTATTTCAATAATATATCATAATCCCATTGTGAAAGCCTGCTGTAAAGCTGATGAGGGATGGTAACCGTTTTGTTTTTCATTTTCAAAATGAGTTACCAATTAATATTTTCATTAGCCTGTCTTTTTAGATAGCCATTTTCAGTGCACACATTTTAGTTAACTAGTTTCCTTAATTTTGGTTAAATGCAATGGATTTATTTATTTTTCCAGTTTCCTTTGGAGCTTCTGCTGGAGGGCTACAATGAGCTCCAGCTTTCTTCTCGTTATATGGTCGATGCCGCTTCCTCAGTGGGTCACACCACTTGTTTTAATGGGAGGGGAAATTTGTTTAGCTATTCTTTGTTTTGGATCTTTGTGTTAATACCTGAAATAAAGTCTGTTTTTTTGACCTCTGTTTTTGAGCCCAGTTGATCATTTTTGAACAATAAATTAACACCTTTTTAGAAACTATTAAATAGTTTTCTGGATGGTTTGTGCAAATCTCTCACACCCATGTAAACTAAAATGAGAGGAAGCAGATAAAACCCATCCAGGTTTTATCACAAACTAAACTGACCTTACCCTGTTTTACACCAGATATTCTTTCAGATAATTATTTGTAGGTCAGCTGTTGTTATACAATGTGCTCAGATAAAACATTTTATCTTTATCTACAATGTCAAAAACTTTAGACCCAGAAGATTCCACATGTAAATAAGATTCGAAAGGCTCCTGGATCTACAGCACTTCTCGTGGATCACCGTCTCCTGCTCGCCACAAAGAAGCAGATAAACCAGCAGAAAGGTTGTAGAAGGTACTGGAAGCACTTTGCTGGAGATCTAAGTTATAGTTAGATTACTAAACAGATGAGATTATGTTTAATTTGTTCTGCATTTCATTTAACAACCTTTTGTAAAAACAAAAACATTACTGTCTTTAGTTGTGGTTAGTTGTGAGAGTAAAGGGTTTTAAACTTTCTTTTTTGATTTAAAGGCACACTATGCAACATTTTTCAGTTAATTAATGTGTTCCATAACGTTTTGGATGATTAAATGAGTCATTTCAGGTTGAACAAAGGTATTCTCGGCCGCCCTGGTGGTCTGTGGGGGAAATACCGCACTTGCAATTGCAGGAGCCCTCGGCCCGCACCCACAGGCTCAGAAGTCTCGTGAGAGTCAGTCTTGCTTTACGGCGAGAACTGCTAGACGCCCCCAGTTAAAAGCATTCTCGTTGCTAGCACAGTGGCGATCTTTGTGCAGTTATGCTACGTTCACGCAGCAAAAGCAGCAAAATCGCGTCTGCTGCTGGTAGGTGTTTTTCATCTAAATAATCCAAACTGCATATTCTGTCGGCAGATTTCTGCATTTTAAGTTAATTTAGGCGTCAATAAACTGTTTAAGAGGAGTGATCATCAGCGCTGTGTCTCTCTCCCTGCGTCAGATGCTTAAACGCGCCGCTTCAGCTGCTCAGACGTGCTGCGCCTGCTGCTTAAAACGCGCCACGGGACTTTTTGCTGCGCCTTGACGCGCGTCAACCATTGACTTTGCATGTAAACTCGCTGCTTCTGTCGCGCCAGCTACGTCCAGTGTGAACGCAGCATTAGTCATTCGCTGCTAAGCTCAAAACAACCGCGCCTGGCTTGACGGAGAAACCAGGAGAACAGCTGTGCATATTTACGACAGTGCACTTTTACTTTCGCCCTCTGGGGGGAGCCTTGCTGGAAAATCAACACCGGTTGCATAGTGTACCTTTAAAAATACATCAAAATCAATAGTAATGTCTGCTTCAGTCCAAGTTTTTTTTCATTATTAAGAGCCATAAACATAGAAGAAAATAATGTTTATCAGGAGCTGTGAAAAGGGAAATGTTATTTCTGGGTATTTTTCATTTTTTTAACTTATCTTATATCTCTGTATTCAAACTGACAAAATATTAGAGGTGTCCTAAATCTGGCCCCAGGAACTATCTAAGGTCCCTAGAATAGTTTAGTGTGGCCCTGGCCCTCAAATCAAAGACCGCACAAATTTTGCTCCATTAAATGGAGCTGATTCACAAAAAGACTTTCTGTAACAGACTGCTTTTCAGTTTCATTAACAGAAAATGTTAAGTCATTTTTGTTCTTTTATAAGGCAGTTTTGTACTGTTTATATTAATTTTGTGATCAATATTAAAGGTGTTACACTTAGAACAGACCTTAGTGCATCAACTCATTACATGTGGCTAAACAAAAAAATTGTAGAACAAAATAGAGAACATACAACCCAAACAGTTAGAGAAACTGACATGTTTATATATATATATATATATATATATATATAAAACAAATGTCCAGGACTCTTATTAGACGTACGATTTGTTCTTTCCTATATAATATTACTCATATTACTTTTGTTCATTAAAATGTTGCAGGTTTGATTTATTGATGGTCAAGTAAAAAAAATCGATAATCTTTGAATTTTCCGAGAGAAATTAACCGATTCTGGCCAACTAGAGAAAACATTGCTTTCAGATGCTTTGCTCTGGAGGTGGAACAGTGATGCACTCTCACCACTAGAGGGCTCCCTCTGCTTTATGCTGCTACAGACTGGGTCCTGTATTGTGGTGACCTTCCACCCAGAGCTTTCATCACTTTGTGTGCAACCTAAGTACCAGGCATCCATGCAAACATGGAGGTAGTATTTTCACTTCTTTTAACAAACTAAACATAATTTCCCTTTGCTATGGATGTTTTTAATATTCCCATCCCCTTCACAGAGCTAAAATCCACAGCAGTGATGGTCTGTGGCTAAATAAAATTCTTACCTGTTAGGAAACTTTCTGAATCAGGGCTTTTTCTGGATCATGTTTATCCTCCAGATCTTCATCTGAGTCTGAATACAAGGCAGAGAAAAATCATTTAAAAACCTAAAGAGTGAATTCAGATCTACAAACCAGCTGCAGGTCAGTCTCAGATACAACAACAACTAAAATATGTAGAATATTAAGTTTCACATTAAAGCTTTTTTAAATTAATTATTGAAGAGGAATCTACATTCATGACGCCAATGGATAACTTAGCGTCCTCTGCTAATATTTTCTCTGGAAAGAGGAGGAGGTATTAAAATGTTAGTGAAGGATATGTTGAGTATTGTTAGAGTGAGAAAACTGACCTGCCAGGGACTCTGGTGGAGAGTAAAACTGTCCGTCAGATAAAGGACCGGGCCCCATGGGAGGAGCGTTCTCAGTGGCGTCCACGAATAACTGATATCCTGTAGACAAGAGAGGGCACACATCCATCTCACCATGGAGCTTAAACTGAGTTCATGTGATGATCTTTACTTTTCATCGAACGTTAATTGTTTGTCTGTGGTTTAAGTTCAGACTCACTGTGCTCATCCTCCATCTCCTGAGGGAGCACCTTAAAGTCCAGCAGCCATGTTTCTATCCAGGCCAAGACGAAGGAGATGATGGGAAGCAGGTATCCGAATGCACCCTGAGAGAGCAGCTACCCTCACAAACAAAGAGAGAAAAAAGATTTTCTGCTAAAGTAAACATTTATGTGACTTAAGAGTGAAACAAACCCAACAGGCTGCAGAAATATCACATTTTCAATTGCTTTGTTTTTTTTACATTCATCATGGAACCAGATGAATCTGAAAAATATATAAAAAAAACTCATTCTGAACTTTAAAAAACTCTAAAAAAACAAAAACAAAACATAGCAATAAAATAAGGTCTTGATTTCAATAGTTTAAAGCAGCACTCAGTAGTCATGCTCCTATTGCACTGTTGTAAACAGCTGTTAGATGCTGCAGCTCACAGAGAGCTGTCACTCTGCTGTTTTCACATCGTAAGCGTCTTGAACAGCAGGAGCAGCCAGTCTATTTGCAAAGTCTATGGTTGATGTGCATCAAGGCGCGTCCAAAGTTCCAGCAGCGCATTTCGAGCAGCTGGAGCAGCGTGTTATAAAGCAGCTGAAACGAGTTGGAAAATCTAAAATTTTGCTGCTCGACAAGACAGAACAACTAATCAGAGAGAGACTTCACTATGTGTTGGTGTTCTAATAGGATATGCAGGCATCGATGCAGGTCAGCAGGTCCTCCCACTGGGCTCAGATGAGATGAAAACCACCCTTATCAGCATTTGGCTCTTAAAGTAGGCGGTGAAACGCTCCATCAACTGAACGTCTCTGAAGTATCTGGTGAATCCAGACATGGAGCTGAGGCACCTGATGACAGGGTTCTCTAGCTTTATTTAGTAAAAAAAAAAAGCCAAGCGGTTTTATTTTTATATTGTACAAGATACGTGCAAAGAGAAGGTTAGCTCCTCCCAATGCGATTCAGCCCCTGGACAATATGCTTTGCCGATGTGCATCAAAGTTGCTGCTGACGCACGTCTGACCTTCATGTGGACAAGAATCAAAAATGAAGCATCAGACGCTTCTTTGTTTCCTCAAAACATGTTTGGTTTGAAAGCAGCTTTGCAGCAAGAAGATGCAGATAACGACCAAATGGTGGGTAGTATTTTACATTAGCTAATGTTAACTATGGTGTATCAGTCTTTTAGCTGGAGAAATACTTTTATAGAAGTCTGCCGCTTGATTTCACTGATTTCTAATTGCTCCCATAAGGTGATTCAGCCTCCCCATGTTACGTAGCTATATTGCTAAAAATCAAGCACTCTAAAATAACAATAGTAACACTAAGATTAGCAGTCAAAGGAGGAGGATGATGCCTCCACCCATCCTCACCACCTTCTACAGATGCACCAAAGAGAGCGTTCTGACCAGGTGTCTCACTGTGTGGCGTGGAGGCTGCAGCACCTCAGACTGGGAAAACATGAGGAGAGTGGTGAAAACTGCGGAGAGGATCATAGGGGCTCCTCTTTAAAAGACATTTCATCCTAGCATTGTGTGTCCCGAGCCCGTAATATTATAAATGACCCCTCACACCCCCACCATGGACTGTTCTCCCTGCTGCCCTCTGGGAAGAGGCTTCGAAGCATCTGATGCAGGTCCAGCAGGTTTAAAAAAAAACAACAACAAAAAATTCGTTGAATGTTGGAAACTGTAAATCGTATACCGGTCTTATGTTTACAAATGATCACCATGTTTACATTTTATCACTGATGCACTTTAAAAATGTAAATGTCTTGAGAGCTGTACTGAACGAAATTTCTTTTTTTATACACTCTGTGTGTGCAAAATGATAATAAAGTCCGTCTAAGTCAAAGAACACGATTACCAGGTCTGCATCAGTTTTTATATACCTGTTTTTTTGCAGTCTTGTCTCAATCTAATTCTCATCTTTTCCTTTTCCTGTTCTGACAGTTAATTTCTTTGCCCTTTTTGCCGTCTCCAACATCTCATAAATAAAAGCTATCACCTGGGGGTAGCACAGTGAGGCGTGTTGCTACCATAACCAGTGGCTTTATATTGGGCTGCTTGTCACACGGCCAGAATGAGAACAGAGTCATGAGTCACTGCCGCTGGGTTCACAGGCACAGAAACTTTCAATGTGGTTTTCTAACCAGAGTCAGTAGGGAGTGTGAGAGACCATAAACACTTTGATTACCATCACAGGGACTTAGAGGAAGATTTATTAAAGCAAAATGTTACTTAGTGCTGCTTTAAAGGGTTTGCAGAAACAAACTCATTTTTTCTTTTGTATTTTACAGTAAATCCTGTTCAGAGATCACTTTAACTCAAACATCACTAAAATATAATGCTACTTTATGACATGATAGTTTTATCCTCCAATGGCTGAAAAAAATATAAAGAAGTAGCATTTTCCAGCTGGGAAAAGGATACAGAAACAGATGCTATACTCAACCCGATCCTGCCATATTTAACATTATTATATCTCATCCATGTTATTTTAAAGAGAGATTAACATGAATCTTAGGAAAGGTCAGAAGAGATCAAAATATCCCATAAATGTTTATCTCTGCGGCAGCGCATCTCTTACCTTTGATAAAATGACTTTAGCGATCAGGAAAGCACAGCTGGTTGCAGTAGTTATCTGTACAATGAGAAAAACAAACACAGGGCCAAACACTGCATGTTAATAGCATGAACTTAATAATTCAACATTTACCTCTGACAGAAGCATTCAATCCAAATTACTTTAGATGGGTTAAAAAAATTAACAAAAACATCGTCATTAAATGAATACCTGAGAACATCTTGGCTGCTTCTTGTTAAATATATGAAAGTCTTTACTGCTAGAGCAGCTAAAACAGTGATTGGGACATTAAAGGGGTCATAGAATGATTATATAGGGTATTTGGTGCTGGTCCTTAATGTCTCTGAATAGGGTGTCTAACATTGGTTGGGCTGAAAATGGCATATTTGCTGTTCTACGAGCCCTAATGAAAGCCTGGTTAAGAGCCCCAGAATGAAACGACAGGTTTTCTTCCTTTTATGGTATGCTCATGAATATTTAGACGAGCTGTGCACTGATTGGTTGGTTTACAACGAGCAAAGCTGCTGAGCAAAGACGCATCATAGCAACAAGCACTCACTCACTGAAACATCAAATTGTTGATATGGTAGGGTGACCAAACATGTCCTACTTTTCATACGTAAGAAAATGTCCAGGGGGAAATTCAAAGTCGTCTCGGCCTGTCAATCACCCACACTAAAATTGTGACGACAGTTCGTGTCACCTCAGGGTGCAGCTTTGATTCTCCTACCGTATTTTCACGACCATAAGGCGCACCGTACTAAAAGGCGCACTCTCAGTTATGTGTCCCATTACTGTGTTTAACACACACATAAGGCGCACCGGACTATAGGGCGCGTTTTTTTATATACAGGTGCATGTCCTCTACTACCTTTAAATACCTACTACGTATTTAAAAATACAGCGGGGGCAAAACTGAGTATGACTGTGCTTTATTCATGTATTTATTACAAAGTATTAATCAAACCTGGGTGCTGGCCGTGAGACAGACACATCGCAGATGACAGTGCGCTGTGATCACTCCTAAATTAACTTAAAATCCTGAAACCTGCCGACGGAATATGTTCGCTTTTATTACCGGTATCCTGGTGCCTGCAGCTAAAATTATTTAGATGAAAAACACCTGCCAGCCACCGAGGTGAACCCAGAAGCTGCCCAGCCTAGAGGCTGCTGATGAAAGGATTTCTGCTGTTGGCGCACCGCTGGTATGTGGGGGTCTGAGCGCCTCCGACAGAAATAGATAATCTGGATGAACTGACTGCAATTATTAAGTTTTCAGGTGGACTTTCTCACTTAAAAGCATATTAAAACTACTTTATTCCCACTGATCACAGCAAATATAGCTGCAAGATTTAGATTATTTAGATGAAAAAACACCTGCCAGCCACCGCGGTGAAGAGGAGGAGACCCGCCCAGAGGCTGCTGATGAATTAAGTTTTCAGGTAGAAAAATAGAGCGGGAGCAAAACTGAGTATGATTGTGCTTTATTCATGTAGGCTATTTATTACAAAGTATTAATCAAACCCATCAAAGTCATCATCCTCTGTTTCTGAATTAAACAGCTGCACTAAATCAGACATGCCAGTTTCCCCTTCTTCGCTGTCAGAGTCACTTTCCGTGCAGCGCGGCTCCCTAGAAATAATGCCGGCTTTTGTGAAAGCTTGAACAACAGAGCCAGCAGACACGTTAGTCCAAGCATCAACAATCCATCCGCAAACGGTGGCGTAACTTGCCCGGCGCTGCCTTCCACTTATCCTGAAACTGTGGTCTCCGTCTGTCATCCATTGCTCCCACACCGCTCGCAGCCTTACTTTGAACGGCCGCTTCACACCGATGTCGAGCGGTGGAAGTTCCTTTGTCAGACCCCCGGGATAACGGCGAGAACAGCGTTTATTTTTTTTCACCATGTTTTTCACATCAGCTGTGAGATGAGCTGTGCACTGATTGGTTGGTTTACAACGAGCAAAGCTGCTGAGCAAAGACGCATCATAGCACATGGAGTCACATATTAAAAGCGATGGTGATGCGTGGAAAAAAACACCTGGTCTCCTCACATAGCCTACACCTCCCTCAGCCGCGCTTTCATCATCTCCTCATCCATCCAGCCTTTTTCATTTAATATCATATGTCATCAGAACGCTGTGTCTGTCTCGCTGTCAGCTCCCAGATCAGCTTCTCTGATTCGTTGATGCGGCGCTTCCAGCAGCAAAACTTCAATTTTTTCCATCTCGAGCAGCAGACCTTTCTCGGGACCTTTTGCTGCGTCTATACGCTCGTCAACCGTTGACTTTGCATGAAACCTCGCTGCTTCTGCTGCACCTGCTGCGTCCGTTTCACAGCGAGCACAGCATTAATTTGTTTCACCATGTTTTTCACATCAGCTGTGAGATGGGCACGCATGGAGTCAGATTAACAGCGATGGTGATGAGTGAAAAAAAAAACACCTGGTCTCCTTACATTCAGCCACTCTTTCATCATCTCCTCAATGAGGTGGTCTCAAAAGTCGCAGTTGCAACACACATAGGGCGCACCGCACCATAGGGCGCACCGCACATTTTGAGGAGAAAAAAAGACGTTTATGTGCGCCTTATAGTTGTGAAAATACGGTACGTTGCATGTACAACTTTTAACGAGAGGCAATAGGCAAACATTCTTGCACCCTAGGGAGGATATATGTCATCAATCTGACGAAAAAACAAGACAGCCTCACTCGAGATTAAAGATTAAATATTTACCTTACACATCTAAAAAATAGATATCAATATATTTCAAAATATTAACATTTTATAATTTCATTTTAATTAGTTTTTCTTATCAAGTTCATTTGGTGGGTGCGATGGCGCCCTAGCGCCCTCTATCGGCCATCTTGATAAACTGACTGCTCAGTTGATGTTTTGAGCTGGACTTTTTCACTTAAAAACATAAAACTACTTTTTCCCACTTATCACAGCCAATATAGCAAAGCCGCTCTCTGCCATTGAAAGCAGGAGCAGCAGACGCATCTGTACACGTTTTACTGGACATGCTTCAGGAGCCTCAAACAACGGCATAAATATCAGTAAGCAGAGACTGCAGTTTCTTAGGACCCCACAACCTCTTAGGGGCCCCGTTACTGAAATCTGGAAGGTCCCCTACGCAATTGTGGACTAGGACGTACTTCATATGGGGCCCACCCAGATAATGTTGCTTACGGGCCAATTGTTGTGTCGTTACGCCATTGGCCTCAAAGGTGCACTTGAGTAGCATCTGACCTTAATATGTTCAAGCATCAAAAATGAAGCAGCAGAAGTTTTTTGCTAAACGTAGCAATGCTAACCATAATGCACAGTCCAATGTTTGGAGAAACCTAAACACCTACAACCAATTATCCAGCATAGCAGTAGAGGGATGATGATTGGGGTTTGTTCTGAACCCTGGCACCTTGCAGTCACTGAGTCAGCCAATAATTCCTCTATAAACTAACATAACCAGGAGGCCATCTCCTGAAACTAGGCCCAAACTGAATCATCAACACAAGGAAGATCCCAAACACAGCAGCAGATCAGAAGCAGCAGATCAGAAAGCATATTATCAAAAACAGCATTCTACAAGCTATTGCATCTGTGCAAGTATCATCACCTCAATGACAGAATTGGAAATGTTCCATATATGTAGATGTTAAAAAAAAATGAAAAGCATAAGTAAATGTGGATAAGGAAAGAAAAAAAAGGTCACACGCTTAAAAAGAGAAATACTTACAGCGACCGCCCACCAGTGACGCAGCTTGCAGATGGCGTAAGCGAGTATGAGGGCTGCAAACCTGAAGACGGCCAGCAGCTGATGAAAGAAACAAAGAAACTTAAAGTCAGGAATTCAGATTAAAAAGGCTTTCTGAATGCAAAGCCTGAAAGGGTCTTACAAAAATGTCGAAGAAAGAGGCATGATAGTCATAGTGCAGAACTTCTTTTTCCAGCTGCGCCTGAACGCCTCCACTCACCTGTTAAACACAAAGACATTTTGGGGGTTTTAAGGAGGCCTGAGTCAGAGCCTCGCCGTCGAACAATGAAACGGAAAAGTTGATTTAATGAACAATAAGACATGGTGGGTGTGAAGCTTGACAGAACCTTTTAGTTTTTCTTAAAGGGGAACACCATTTTTTCTTGTTTTTTTTTACATTTGGCCCTTGATTTTAAGTTATTACATCATGTTCTACTCACCCATATTAATTTTGTGTCATTTGGAGTCGTTCTAAAGATATTCAGTTAGGTTATATCCAAGTAACGTCTTCCTATGAGAAAACGACTTGAAGGCACAAACTGAACTGTTCATAATTTATTCTTTATGGTACACCAGCATTCAAAACATGTAGGCAAATCACGGTACCCCAGACATCCGTGGCTATATTTTTTATATTTATATTTTTTTAAAACAAAGCGGAGTGTGTACATTCGCGCGCCGGACTGGAGTCGTAACAGGCAGCCCAGGCCACAGGCTACACTCTACCCCTACTATTCATTCGGCTATATTTATATAAAAAAATATAAACATAAAAAATCTAACCACGGATGTCTGGGTGACAATGATTCGCCTTCATGTTATGAATTCTGGCGTACCATAAAGAATAAATTATGAACAGTTTAGTTTGTGCCTTCAAGTCGTTGCCCATAGGAAGACGTTACTTGGATTACAAAACCGAATATCTTCGGAACAGCTTCAAATGACAACAAACTCATATGGGTGAGTAGAACATGATGAAATAACGTAAAATCAAGGGCCCAACGTAAAAAAAAAAAAATCGGCGTTCCCCTTTAAAGGCACACAACAAAACCAAGAACCTGCTTGACTTATTCTAAGTTCCACTCAGTAGATATGTAGATTCAATATTTAAAATCCTCAAAATTTGAAGAGCATTCCGAATGATTTCTTCCTCATTATGTGGCGATATAAAATATAGGATCAAAAATTGAAACAGGCTTAACTAAAACATATGCAAACAGTCATTTGAAGATAAGCTGCTCCATTAATGACTACATGTCACCAATCATTGGATGCTGGTTTGTAAACAGTTAAAATGTTTTTATCTAGACACAAACTCTGAGTTTCCTACAGGACCGTATCTTTTATCTCCAATGATAAGACCATTGGTGTCTAGCTGGGGGTTTGCTCTGGATCTGCCGCCATAGACACTTTAAAGATACAAAGAGCATGAGAGGCTGTTCTTGTATGGTAATAAAAATTGATAATTGAACTTTATTGATCCCACACTGGAGAAATTCACATCTGAATTTGACCCATCCCCTTTGGGAGCAGTGGGCTGCCACTATGCGGCACCCAGGGAGCAGTGTGGGGTTGAGGGCCTTGCTCAGGGACCCAGAGTGCAGGCGTTGGGGATCGACCTAGGTACTTGTAACCTTCTCAGAGCACAAGCACACTGCTCTTACTACGAGGCCATCACTCCCCCATTGAATGAATGGTGGGCAGGGTAACCTGCCCCTTATCCAGTTAAAATACACAAATATAAATGAAATGGGAATGATATAGTGCACTTAAATTCTGAAAAAAACATGTAACCTTGTTGACAAAAATGCATGTGAAAACCATCGCTGTAGTCTCATCCAGTAGGAGGATGTTTTGCAAGTCAATAACTGGATGCAATCAACTGTTTTCCAAACCAATCTGGCAGTATTGTCTCTTTAAAGTGCCTTTAGATGACATGTGTAGTGAATTGGTGCTATATAAATAAACTGAATTGAGTTGTATGCAGACATTTGAGCCATTATGTATAAGTTAGGCCATAATTTAGAGGAAAATCACAATAAAGGTTTAGTCATTCCAAACTGGAGGAAAAGAGTTTATATTAACTTTTAAAAGGTTGAAATTAAGAGATTTGTGTTCAACTGTGGATATATAAATCTGATCATAACTTTAAATTTTCTCTTAGCAGAACAAAAACTAAAAATCTGAGTAATTATAAAGAGGAGGAAGTGACCTAAAAGGTTGAAAAGTTCAAAAAGCTTTTTATAGATTAGCTTTATTCACTCCCAATGATTCACTGCTTACATCCAACCAAATACGTTAAAGAAAAGGAGGTTTGCAGCCTGCAGAGATATTGTAAGGTTGAGGTTGAACCTGTTGCAACTGAATAATTCTGGGAATAGCAGCTACAAAAAGAAACAACCGTTTCCTCCTACTGAGCACAAACCTGACCTTGAACTGCTCCACCACAGCAGCCTGACCTCCTGCTAGCCAACCGCAACATGACTCAGACACAGTTTGTTAAGTAAAAGCAATAAATCCAACAAAGGAGACAGTATGTCAGCATATGCTCATGAAGTAAACGTTTAACCGAGTAGTAAAAATGTTATGAAAGGACATTTTTCTTAAAATAAAATGGATATTCTAATTTTGATCACAAGCTTTTGTAGCTTAATCTCTTAAGAGTTCTTGTATTATTTATGACTGGAGATAAAAATAATGTGAAATAAAGTAATTTAGTGTTGAACAGATGAAATGTGGCTGAATTTAAAATCATTCTTTTAGTTCTTACTCTTATTAGTTTTACCCAGTGACTCTACCTACTTATTCTCATGTTGAAGAGCCAATAAAATGTTTCATGTATGGTTACCATATAGAGTAAATCCTTAGCTGATTCAGACAACCTTAAACCAGCTTAATAAAATATAATTTAAAAGCAACTTTGGGAGATAAAATGGACAGAAATGTGCCTTAATGACAGTTTATGTACAAACATTCTTTTCACCGTTAACAATAATGGAGGCGTGCAGTTTAACCTCCACTTGTCTTACGTTTAGCTCAATAATCCAGAGCAGAGTGATGAACAACAGGTCAAAGGTGACAAAGAGGCAGAACGTCCTCCGCACATCTGAGATGCACTTCTTCTCTCCGGGTTCGTACGACTCCACCCTTACAGATTGCTGCGTGCTGCTGACAGACCCCATCCCTCTGGCGGTCAGCCGTGAATCCACGCTGCTGCATCGGCTTTCCATCCCTGGTCCCCCCCGTGGACAGGACAGGCCCCGCCCACTGCTCAGAACGAGGTCTCAGAGTCGCCAGTGGTGGGTCATGTGGGTGTTTACAGTCGGTTTGTGGGGGTTAAACACATCACAGAATCTGAAAGAAAAACGACAGAAAGATATTTGTTTTCTTCTCTCTCAAAAGCATATTCATCAATCCTTAATGGTTCAGGGGAGATGTGGCGTACCACAGAGATGCGTCCTTGGTCTCCCCCTATACTCTATAAAACTAAGTTAATTTTTTCCTGCAAAAATGTGCATTTTGTACATTTCCATGTTTTATATAAATGGCTCTGAAGAGCACGCAATAACAAAACATACATTCTTATCAGGGAGGAGGTCCAGGGAACGAGTCAGGACACGATGGAGGAACTATGTCTCTCAGCTAGCCAGGGAGCGCCTTGGACTTCCCCCCAGCAGAGCTGGAGGAGGTGTTTATTTTCCTTCATTTATTCAGGTATGTCCGTTGATGTATTTTTTTCCACTACGCACCTTCGACGCATCATTGTTTTGTTTTTGGTGTTTATTTTAGTTTAGTTAAGGGCTCAGCAGCACCTTATGGTAACTGCTCCTTTGCTACAGGGGTAGAGGGCAGGAGACATGTTGATCTGCACATTGCATATAGAGCAAGCTCTGCAAAGGACCATGAACGACGGTTACTAAAGTGAAAAACGGCATGTTGCTGTTACACACATGCGCAGTGGAGATTATTTTACTCTAAAGATCTTCATGGGTGTGTACAGGGACGCTGATCGGAATGTCGATCAAAAAGAAAAACACCTCTCTCAATTAGAATAAAAATTCAATCGACCGAATCAGATTAGAATCCTCAGTCTGACATGAAATATTTCTGAACTGATCAGGCCTTTAGCCCCATTATTTGTGTCCATGTAAACATAGCTACTGGCAGTGATTGGCCCAAAAGGTTGTGCAACAAAATGGGTATGCCAGGCCTGTTTGATGAGTTTATTTCTGTTATAATGGTCGAAAAGCATTGCCCGACTTTTATTTGTTCAATTTTATAGAATTTTTTTAATCTATTTTTACATTTGCCAGTTCAAAGTTATTTCTAAGGCCATTGTGGGTCTTTCTTTTATTAAACAAAGGAGTACTAATAATTTTGTCCAAGTTTGTACTTCTGAATATTCACTTGAAGAGTGAAATCACACTATCAAGTGTTTTACATTATTCAAAACATACTTTATAGTTGTACACTATTAGCACATTTCTGATTTTAAAGGTTACATGTTAAATAGAACAAGACAATAAATATGCAATAGACACACAGGGCTAATTTGGGCTATTTTGAACTTTATAGTTAAGTCACTTGATAAACTGTACAGGGATATTTCCTGCGTTGCTATATAAACCCTGAAGGAATCTGTTTCTTTGGCTCAGAAGGCTTTTCTGGTAACATAGGTTAGCTTAGGGAAGTGAAACAAACTGTACATTTGAATAAACTGTCATTAACTTTTACAAAGAGGAAAAATGGCACATGATTCAAACTTCAGCCGCTTTTTCTCATGACATGTTTTATCTAAACAATTTTCACAAAAGAAGCTTTAGCATTTTTGTTTGATTTAGAAAACTAAGAGCCTTTCAATCCAGTTAAACCAGAGAACATGCAGAAAACTTGTATAAAAGTAAAAACCACAACTTAGTGTTAAAGTAATTTAAAAAACACTGCTAAAAGAAATACCTTATGATGTTTCTTGATGTCCCTGAGCAGATATTCTCTGACTCACAGTTTGTACAAAGTCACTTTGTAGTTTCCCTTCACTCCCCCTTGAGCGCTTACAGTTAAAAGGCATGAGGTCTGAACCAGATTAACCCTGAAAAGGCCAACAATACTTATCTTTAATGATAAAATATTATCATTATTATGATATTTCATAATCCAAATTGGCTAAATCCTGCTTCATTCAGTCAGTAATTACCCATTTTATTTTTTAATAAGCATCATCAGGCAATTGTGTTTATTTCCAGCTAGAACTTTAATTTCCACGCTGGTTCAGAATGACTAAACACAAAAATATGATGTCAGCCTGCTTCCTTGTAATGTATTTACTTTACAGATTTCTTGCAAATAGCTTGAATGTTTGAGAGACAGATGTTCAGAGATAGATCATTTGAAAATAGAACCTGTGGCCGACAGATTTCCCAGAATCTCATGATCTAAGAAAATACTCCCCTTGCATGGGAAGTCAAATTTATTTAATCATGTGTTTAGCGAAATGAAAATATGACCTGTGGACTTCTCACATGGGTCTGTATTTAATCTGTTGTTACTTGTTAGTTGTCTAATAAAACATGCTCTGAGCCTTATTGAGAGTCCAAATCTTTAACTTCACCCAACATACAAAACGTTTCATTGGTATGGACATTTAATAAAGACAACAGCAATGTTGTTTTGTTCCTCTCTGTAGGATCACTTGAAATTTGCATTATGTAAGTGACAGTAGTTAATAAAACATTAACCACCATAACGTAGCAGAAACAGATACAATATTTTGACTCCTTTACAGACACCTCTAGGCTGCAGCGACCAGCAAACAGAATGAATTACGTCATCTATAATAACCTATTAACACAGTGGAAACATCAGTCATGTACCCTCGGGTCCCAGAACAACTCAGTCTGATGCAGTTTCAAAACAAAAAAGGCAGTTTCTTGTCAAACCAGTTGTAATTAAAGTTGTTATAAGTTTTTTTTTAAAGCTAAAGCATCAGTTTACTGCAGCATCCCCTGAAAAACTGTTTGTTAAAATGTTCGACAATTCCTCCAAAAGGAGGTGTAGCAACAGCAGCGCCGCTGAGGATGAGTCAACATTTATTGTCTTGCATAGAATTATGAAGAACATACATTTCTCATTTTGATTTAGCAGTTTGGACCTAATGTGAAATTTTATTGTTAAAAAAAAAACATTTTTAATGGATATTAATATTTTAGATAACATTTGTCATTTTTTATATAAATAAAAATCTAAATGGGTCATTTTCAGCTTTACAGAAAGCACCATAGGAAGCAAACACTTCCATGAGCTGAGCTGTGCTGATTTCTGAGAGATCAAATAAAATTATCTATTCATTCAGCCTGGCACAACATGGAGCCTCATCTCTGCCTATTAGAAATAGTAAAAAATAGAAAATGTGAGCAGCGACTCAAAGGTTTATAAAATCATTGGAGATGCATAAAAAGGCTCCTTGAGGTGCTTAGACTGAATGACACCTGCTTCTATGTTTACTTCTGCCTGTGCAGAATACAATATGGATAATTTATCATCAACGTATTCTACTCATGGAAACACACAGAAAAAAAAAACTGAATGTAAATCAAACTGCCAAGAAGGCCTAGAGAAAAAAAATAGCATCCTGGTTATAATCTCATTTATTTCCATGTTAGGCTACATTCACACAGCAGGTCAAATACCCAATTATGATTTTTTTTTTCTGAAATCCAATCTTTTCGGTATTTCCTTCCATACTAGTAATTAAATGCACATGCGATCAGTCTCAAACCCAACTTACTAAAACATCAAAACAACCTGCATGAGCAGACAGAGAATGTAGATTTCACACACAGCAGTGCACCGTTTACAGATGCAATGATGAATGTGACTGTCACTAGTAGTTTTTAATTACATTTCAGTGAAATAATACTTATAAATAAAGAAAATAGACTGTCTGTTTGTCTCTGTGTTGTTATTAAACAAGCAAAAACAGCTGAGAGAATGACCGCATCATTAACAAAGACAGAGGCTAAGAAAAAAAAGGCTTGACCATTAAAACAGCCCTTCCAAAGCAATCAGTGAGATTTCTGCTGAACAGAAGTCTGTGTGGACGTATAGTTGGAGCCCCAGAATAAAATGCAGAACGCCTATTCAGACCACAGATGCTTTGAAAAGAATCAGATATGAATTTGACTCACTGCCACTAAAGAAGCCGTTTGTAGTTCTGTGTTTGGGCATTGTTATGGTCCATCTCATTTGGTTTCGATAAATTGGTTTGTTTTGGTTTGTATGTGAATTGACTCTCTTGTCCATATTTTTGCTCCAACACTGGTGGCGCTGTAGGGAAATCTATACTAGTGTCAAGGTAAGGGCAGTGTTTGAGGGTTTGGGAGGTCACAAAGTTTTTTACCGCTCTCTGTCACATACTTCCTCATATCCACGTATTGATCTATATTACCTTTTCCTCTGCAGGCTGCCATAGACCACCAATGAATTTGGATCGCATTCAATACTAAGTTTGTGGATAATAAATGTGAGCGTTCCCAAACGTATCTCTGAGGCTGGACATTGCCTTATGAGCATCTTAGGACCTGGATTTTCTGAAACCAGAAATAAAAGACTATTTGATGGTCACTACAACAAAGATGTGGCCTCATTTCGCTTTTTTGGAAGGTCTAAAGATTATAAGTTGGGCTTCTTAGAAAGCTTTGAAAACTTTATATGAGAGTCACATATGAGCAGAAACATCAGACTTGGATCGCAGACTTATTTGTGGCATTAGACAAAGATGACTCGATAAAATAAAACAAAAAGGTATATGGAGCAGTAGTGTATTTTTAACACTTGAAACTCTATTATAACATAACATTAAACTTAAAAACCCCATTAGCAGACGCCTAAATTTCCCCTCTAAATCAAAAGCCCTTGTGCATCAAGAACCTGCTTGCAATAAAGCAAGTTGCAATCATACAACTTAATTGGTTTACAGCTATTATTAGATATGTGGGGAAAGTAAAAGCTGTGAAAAAATGACTCTCCAGTTGTTATGGTCCGAGGATAGAAGCTGTCTGCCTGTCTCTTTATTTTATTCTTCAGGCTTCTAAAGCTTTTTGCAAGATTTTAACCATTTTAAGAAAAGATGCAGGGAGGGCAGGAAGGAGTCCGTTATATCTTCTAGGGTGGTCAGCACCTCCTTTAGGGCTGGACTTTGATTAAAGCATAGACAGAAACAGTTGAACAGTTTTGCACCGATATTTAAAAAGCTGCTTTATAATAATTACTGATGTTCTACGTTTAATGAATAAATCATCCATGTAAAGATGATTGAGGAGCAGGTTCTGGATAGATCAAGCAGTTTATTGAATGTCAACAACAAAACCCGCTAGTCGATTTTGGGTATCTCATGTTTATTACAATTTTATCTTAACCCTTTAAAGCCTGAACCATGAATTAATTGAAAGAACATTTAAATTTTTCAAAATAATGTCACAGAACCTTCTGAAAAATGTTGTATAAGTTAAATTAGATCATTTATTTGCATCAAATTTGATACATTCGGCAATTCTGTATAATATTTTATAAATTTTCTGTTCACTACATGTGCCTGAATATTTAAGTCAGTGTTTCAACAACAAGAACATCACACTGATGATGCAGAAATCTCAAAATCTCATGTATCAAATGTGATACACTGGGCTTTAAAGGGTTAAGAGTGCTGTTTCTAAAATGCAAGACTGTCTTTGTAGGGTTACACCTCAGCTATAATTTAGGAGATAAATGATGTTTAAACACAGCCTGTCAGGATGTTAAGCTTTGATCACAGCTGAACTAACAGGAACCTTATAAACATTTATGATGAAGTCAAGGCTGTAATGTAAACACAACCCTACCTTCTGAGTTGGGCTACACAGACCCAGTAACTGTCATTTTTGTTTAAATTGAGTTTTATGTTTTTAATTAAAATATAAAGAGATTTATCTGCATATTTTCAGCAGCTTAAAACAATAGATATGCAGCTGGTTGTAAAAGCTGAGAGGGCCCAACAACAACACCTCGGAATGCTGTTTTAAACGACAGTCTGAGCCACCCTACCAGGAATGCAGACCAACGGCAAAAAGAGTAAAAAGCTAAAACTAGAAAAGCCAAACCATTGCAGCTCCCAGGTCGCTGATACCCGCATCATTGGTTTCATTTGACAACAAGCTAGCAACGAAGCTCCCTTTATCTTCCCTTTAGACCAAATATTTCACTCCATAGTGACTCTTACCTCTTAAAATCTCTCGGTCAAGCTGTTATGTTCTCTGGATAAAACTCCGACGTGTCTATGCGGTGAACATCAGGCTCGCAGAGGCAAATAAATCATCCGTTTCCTCTTCGCTTGCTGCTGAGAAAGGATGGAAGTCATGCTAGCAGGCAGGTTGGAGCAAAGCATTATGGGAAGTGGAGTTTAAACTGGGAACAGCAGCCACTTCGGTGTGTGAGGCTCTCTGGCGGAGACTTTTACTGTGGAAGCGAATTGTTACTATATTTCAAATGAAAAAGCATTTCCAGAAATGCTTTTTCATTTTAAGAATGTGGCTGCATTACTTCACTGATAAATGAAATTAGTAATCAGTCATCCTATAAGCATTTTAATTTTCTTCTTCAAGGTTGCTCATCCTTTTACTTAATTAAAATGAAAAAGACATTTGAGATTTATTTTTTAAAATGAAATATAAAATTTGAAAATTCTTCTTCAAGGCTGCACATTTTATGCCATAATCAAGAGAAAACACAGCGGACATTGCTTTTTCATTTTCATGGTCTGCCTGCAAAGTACTGTCCATAACTCGAAAACGAAAAAGCATTCTGAGCGGCTGGCGAAGCAGCTGCTCTTCCTCAGGTCCTTGCTGACCGGGCTACCCATCTTGTTCGGTAGGGGGTGCTGATTATAGCAGGTAGCCTGCTTCTGTTCCCCCTTATAACTTTAGGAAACAAAGGTCTATCACCTCCAAAGTTTCAGGAGTGAGTTTTCATCATAAAAGATGCGTATAATTTAAAAATGAAAAAGCTGAGACCTTTTTTGTCAGATTTAGACCACTTTGAGGATTTATTTTTGTATTTATCTATTGTGTTTTGTGATTATTATACAGTACCTAATCACCAAAATAACCTTATAAGTGTTATATAAACATTAGATTTACAAACTAACTTTATAGATAAGCTATCCACAGAGGCGTAGCCAGGAAATTTTTATAAGGGTGCCCAGGCAATAACCAATGTACACTGAGGGGTGGCCCATAGTGGATAGACGCCAGAACCTCACGGTCAATCTACACTGCTCCAACAGGAAAATTAACTAGCAAAACACCCACATTTTTAAAATAAAAACAAATTTCACTTTCCTACAGCCTTTGCAAACATGTAGACGCATATATTTAAACATCCATGCTTTCTAAATCAAAGGTATAGTTAATAGAACTGTTTCAGGTTTTGGTTCTGGGGTGAAAATCTTTTCCATTACTTACCTACTTTTATCTACCTTATGTGCCTTAACCTACATAAATTGATTTTTTAAATAGTTTTTATTAAAATAGTAATCTATTATTTCCCGGAAGACTCCTAGATGACATGAAGAGGCTTTAGTTTGATCATTTTACCCCATATATAACACAAAATGTAGTTCTGAAAAGAGCAAGAATTCTGTACTTATCTTTAATGTTAGTATACTGATGTGCATAATTACCCACAAAAAATTAAAATGGTTTGAATATCCCACTTGAGAGTATTGCTGTTGCCACCGTCTGTATTGGACGGAAATAAAAGGTAGGGGTGGCCACAGGGATTGGCCAGTGATTGGCTAAGGGTGGCCATGGCCACCCCTGGCCCCCCATCTAGCTCCGCCCCTGGCTATCCAAAACATAAATATCATTAAAGTCACTGACAGATTGCCCTTTTCTACTAAAGAATAATAAAAAAAAGATTTGTTTTAGTCTACATTTGTAAAACATACCAAATTTCTGTGCATGAGGGAGGAGGAGGCATGGCAACAACTATCTAATTATTCATGTAAACATTAAAAGTGATTTTAAATGTAGCCTTTAATGTGCCCATGCATTCTCATCCTCATACTTTGGACCTTTTGCTTACATTTGGCATCAATTGTAATAAATTCAAAGTATTTCTTTACAACTCTGTCCCATCTGACCACTTTTTAGTAACCAAATATAACTTAACTGAGCTCTCCTTCCTCTAAAGGTTTCACTTTAGCAGATGATTATCTGATAAAGCATTCATACATTTTATAGACTCTGTTCCCTTTTTTAACCCTCTCTGTATTCAAGTCAATTGAGTGTATCTATATGGTGCCTATTCACAAAATGTCATCTCAAGGCATTTTACAGAGACAGATGAATCAAATCATACATTTGGATGTTAAAAGCTGTTTTATCCAAGTAAGAAAATTGACTCTAATGAGAAGTTTCCAGAAGAAGAAACAGTGTCTAACAGACCCTCATAACTTCAAAAGGTAGGTATTAGGAGTAGTGACAACATAACTGACCTTTATGGCCATTACTATAAAAACAGCTACGACAACAAACTCTGAACCACTTTAAAAGTGCAGCAGGTTAGAGACAGGGTAACGTAAACCTTGATAATTTGGCCATTTTTTATTATTAGTATCAGAAAAAAAAACACAATTTGATTGCACTAGGCCTCATTCAACCACTACCTATTGCACATTGACGTCTTTGTCATTTTCTTTTTGTTCCCAGAAAAATTGCAAAATATTTACTCATATTACCAAGATATATAAACCTGGGGCCACCATTGTACATCTTAAAATACAATATGCCAGATTTAAACTGCTTTTTTTTTAAAGGGCTTGAAGTTGTAAACACATGCAGCCAATTGAATGTATATTATTTAAAGTTCTGAAATTATTTATCATAAAAAGACCAGTGTTCTAACAAAGGTTTTTTATTTATCTCTATATTCCCATGTTTATAGCATATATTGTATTTTAATTTACTTCAACGCTGAATAAACAAAGCCATGCTGAGAGAGGGGAGCTTCAACTTCCGCTTCTGCCTGAGCAGTAGGATTACAAAGCCCTCTTTTGGTAAGGTAGCGGTGTTCACCTGTTGCCCCATAGAGGAAACTAGTCCAAAAAAAAATAGTGTGAACAGATTGAAACAGATTATCATTTCAAATTAGATCATTAATAGGAGTCACAAAACCCCGACAGCGAGGATGCGTTGACCAAAACTGGGATATCTGATTTTTCTTTCTAGATATTATATAAAACAAGTCAAGATAAAAAGCTCTAAAGTGTATTTTAATAGGCAACTTTTAAAGGCTTTTTAGTTAAATAACCAAAAGAAAAAGAAAAAAAGAAACTGCAAGTCTTTAAATTCCTTCTCTGAAAAACTGCTCTGAATTAATTTTGTAATATTTAACTATAACAACTTCATGGGATGTAATAATGAACAGTCTGAAAATATTGTTGTAGCTAAGTTAGTTTATTTTCCAACTTCAGAAACAGCAAAAGTAAAAAAAAATACAAAACAAAATTTAGTTGCAGACAAAAACAGTTGGATAAATCAATGCAATGTTATAAAAAGAGAAATAAAAAAAAATGAGTATAAATCTTCAGAAACATTTGACCACAACTAAAAATATGATCCCATGACGAGATGATGTTGATTTGAAAGTAGGATTAATACTGAAAGAACAGCTTCAAACGCAAAGAGAAACCCAACATCTTGTCTATTTTTTTGTTTTTTTCATTTTACCAAGTTCAACAGTATCTCCAAAGTTAAAAATCCAGATACCAACATGTAGCGGCTGAGTGAATGTGGTCTGGACTCTGTGGAGGAGAATCATGGTTTTAGAGACGTTGTAGAAGGATAGAACACCTGCTGAGTGATCCAGGTACACTCCTATTCTGGAGGCATAAGGAGCTGAGAAGGAAGTTGAGATTTTCTTGTGGAAAACTTCATATTCATTTTGGAAACAATACAAAGACCAAGATTTGTTATTATATCCCAGTCCACTTCCATTCCCTGCTCTACTTATGTTCTTGTATGAGACAGCAATGTAAACGGCTTTGGTTCTCTTCTCCACCTCCCAGTAACAACGTCCAGTCAGACTTTCTTTGCTTAGGACCTGGAAACAATCAGTAAATCTCTCTGGATGATTAGAATAAGACTGAAGTTTATCAGTCACTCTAACCTTTCTGTTCCCATCTGATAACAGCAGATTATTATGTGCTGTATCTGGATCAAATGTTATTTTACATGCATATTTAAGAAATTCTGCTCTGCTCTTTGGTTCTGGATCTGAAAGTAAAGCCTCCACTGCAGTGATTGTCAGTGAGATGTTTGTCCATGCGTCTCTCAGAATGTCCTGCAGTTTATCTCTGAGCTCTGACACAGCTGCTGTCACATCCTCAAAGTGTCTCAGAGGACGGATATTGATGCTGGATGAGTGTGTAGACTCACTGAGTGCTGACAGTGAGGGGTAGCTGTGGAGAAACTGGTTGTGATCCTCTGTGTTTAAGAGCTGCTTCAGCTCAGCTTCTTTCTTCTTCAGCTCAGTGATCTCCTGCTCCAGCTTCTCCTGAAGCTCTTTGACTCGACTCACTTCAGTTTCCTGCTGGGATCTGATCTGCTGCTTCACATCAGAGCTTCTTTTCTGGATGAGACGGATCAGCTCAGTGAAGATCTTCTCACTGTCCTCCACTGTTTTATCAGCAGAGTGATTGATGGCCTCCACCTCCTGTTGAAGCAGCTTCACATCTTTCTCTCTGTCCTGGATTCTCTGATGGATTCTTCCTCGTCTCTCCTCCAGCTCGCTTTGCCTCTCAGCCATTTCTGCTTCAGCTGACACTGTGTCATGGCCTTTATGTTCCTCTACAGAGCAGAGATAACAGATACACTTCTGATCAGTGCGGCAGAACATCTTCATCACCTCATCATGTTGAGAGCAGATGTTCTCCTGGAGGTTCTTTGAAGGTTTCACCAGCTTGTGTTTCTTAAATGTAGCTGAATCATAATGAGGCTGAAGGTGTTTCTCACAGTAAGAGGCCAGACAGACCAAACAGGACTTTATGGCTTTCAGTTTTCTTCCAGTGCAGAAATCACAGGCCACATCTTCAGGTCCAGCAAAGCAGTGATCAGCAGGAGCAGCTTGGAGTCCAGTCTTCTTCAGTTGCTCCACTAAAGCTGCTAAGATGGTGTTTTTCTTTAAAACTGGCCTCTTAGTGAAGGTCTCTCTGCATTGAGGGCAGCTGTGGATTCCTTTCTGATGCTTTTCATCCCAGTGTGCATTAATGCAGTTCATACAGTAGCTGTGTCCACAGGGAATAGTCACTGGATCCTTCAGTAGATCCAAACAGATTGAACAGGAGAAGGTTTCTCCATCCAAGATAGCTTCTTTACGTTCCATTTCAAGAATGCTGTTTGTTCTTTTCTTCTTTTATAAAAAAAACGGGATTGGATCCATATATAGCACAGAAAAAGGAAACTAACGATTTCGAAAACCCGCTACAAAGGCTCAGCCATGATGGATTTATGAGTCTGCGCACTGCAGAGCCAATAAGAAACGCTCTCCGAATCACGTGACCACGCACCAAGGCGCTACTTGCTAGCAAATATGAAACTCAGGCCAATATTCCGTTAAACATTAACTAGAAAATGCAATGGAACATTTTATGATTCTCTCCCTATGTTAACATAGCTACCTATTTAAAGTAACATGCAAATTACTTTTAAGTAGGTCCGACAAGTCGATCAAGAATGGGAAACAGCTATTGGTCAACTGCTAGTTTTTCTTCTTTTTTCAAAATGGCGAATCGCAAACAACTTCTGGGGCGCATACTGCCACCTAGCGTACAAGAGCCACCATTATTTTCTGTTTTAGTTTAGTGTAAGAATGATCTTTAGAAATTTGTGGAATATTAGGATTCATAATACTAATATACAGCTATGTTCCTAAATTATTTTAGACTCCATTATTTCCCTCTCCTATTATATTTTCTCATTAATACATATTTAACTCAATCCATCACAAAAAGATCAATTTGTCTTTTTCTCCACAACTCACATTTTTTTTAAATCTTTAACCATCTTTTATAACACAAATTTGGTGTAACCTGCCCTCTATCATATCATTATTGCATCTTCTCTTCTATTCCTTTCTCCAGAATTTTCTTTTAACAAAATTATCTACCAGTTTCCAGTCATTAGTGAAAAAGTTTTGGACGCATACAACCACTCTCGCTTCCATAAAATGCTGTCATGAATGCTATAAATTAGAAAATAATCCTAAAGAAGAACATCATGATAATTTAATCAAAATTAAAATTATTCCAATCAGAGAAACGTTAAAACAATTAAATGTGGTTCTTATGAGCAAACAAAAAAATCTGTACTTGAGTTATTACTTGGAGTAATAACATGTTAATGAAATGCTACTCTTGTGTAAGATTTCCTCTACCCACCTCTGGTTTTTAAAGATGGCTATTGTTGTAATTTTGACAGAAATGCTTGTAATAGACTAAAGCATGTATTTTGGGGATTAGAGAAAAGCTCATATTTTATTTTTTCCTGATAATTGTACTGCAAACATTACACCAAGGGAAGGCTTAATGTTTTTAAAAATCAAAATGTGGTTACCCTATGATAGCTGGATGTACTCCCACTAAAATAGACCATTTATTTGACACCCAGCGCAATAACTATATATATATATATATATATATACTATATATATATATATATATATATATATATATATATATATATATATATATATATATAGATATAAATATCCGTCTATATCTATGTAAGCACCCTGTGCAATAACATTGTATAATAATCCTACTAAAAAAAAAAAAGATGTCATATGTGGACGCACTGTATACACTGTATATATCCCATGCACCTTTTTCTTCCTTTGGCACCTTCTTCTTCTCCTTTGACTATTTGAACTGATGCAACAATTCAATTTCTCCACTGTGAGATCAATAAAACGAATCTATCAAACAATCAATCAAAAAAAATAAATAAATAAAAACTCTGACTGACTCTAATTGCTATAGTAAAATAATTCTGATTGTAGAGAAAAGTTAAAGACTGATTGTCAGAGGAACAGTGCTTGTTGGACCAATATAGAAACCTTAAAGGTAGAGTGGAGGATTTTTGTGAACGTTCGAATAGACCCGCCCTCTGCTCAAAATAAATGCACATGCACAACCCTGTACCTGCTCCCGAAGGGAAGAGCTATTAAATATGTGTGAGAGTGTGCATGAGCCCATTTGTCCTTGTGCACGCTCTGTTTTAAAGTTGCTGTTTGCATCGCTCATACAAGCTTAGTTTCCAAAAGAAGCTTTGCAATTTTCCCACTATGTCAGACTCACCACCTGTAAGTGAAAATAGGGACGAGCACGTAGGACGGCCTTATGTAAACATATCACCAGAATGATTGACAGTTAGGAGGACCAATTATTTTGATGATCCACCAAGAAAAAAGAACATCCTCCACTCTAGCTTTAAAGGAATAGTACACCCAAAACATGATTAGCCTTCATTTTCTACTCACCCCCATGCTGAACAACACTCTGGAGTACTTTTTTGATATCTCAAATGCATCTGGAGATCTGGGAGGCTTCTTGCTGTCTGCTGACATTCAAATAATGGAGGTCCATGGCGCCCGAGGCAGAAAGGTCCATAAAAGTCCACAAAAAACGTGTCAATATTCCTCCATACTGCTCGTCCAATGTATTCCAAGTGTCCTGAGTGGGTAGCATCCAGAATTTACTCGAAACGAAGTCATTTAGAATGTTTTTAGAGCATAAACAGTAGTGTATAGGATTTCGGGTGGTGTTTTTTTTTTTAAATATATATAATAAACTTTATTTAAACAAAGTAAGTACAAACAAGTAAGGCAATAACAACATTAAAATTCTATGGAAGGCATAGTAGAGGCAGATTTCAAAATGGAAATACTAAGTAACATTGATAAGGAAAATAAAGAATGAGTGAGCAATGATAATGAAACAATAATTAATATAACAACAAGGAGATTTATATGTTAGGAATAATGTACATCAGTGGGCAGTTCCATTAGTATTTCAGTTAGGTATTAGTAAGATTCGATACATTCAAGAGATGTCAAATATAACTTAAATTCAGATTTAAAAAAAAATACTAAAGATTGGGGATGATCTCTATACTCTCTGTTTATGAATAAAGCATTTTGCTAAACATTAAATTAGGTTACAACAGAGTTAATTAGAAGTCGTGGAACGCTGTGATTTTCCTGCCAATGTCCACTCCAGTCCAGCAGGGGGCGGTAAACGGACCAATCAACTGCTTCGTCTCAGTCTGAGGCAAAAACAAAGAGCTCTAGCAGCAGCCTGTGAGGACTCTGCTAGATAAAGGCTGTGTTCTTGTATCCCGGCTCAACTTTTCAGTCGTGTTAGAAACAATGTCTTCAGTTCAGCATCTGAGAGAGTTTATCAGAGAGCGACTAACCGCCGCTGCTGAAGAAATCCTCACCGAGGTTGAAAAAACCTTCGTCCGCTACGAGGAAGACGTCAGACTGCTGGAGAGCCACTGGAAACCCCAGATGAAACTCACCAGAATCGGTAGGAAGCCCCACCGACTGACTGCTAGATACATTTGATCTAAAGCTAAACTAAACTAACATAAGCTAAGCTAAACTAATAGACAGTCTGCCCCAGGGGCCACTAACGGCTCCTCCACAGACATAGTGGCCCTCATATTTACAAGCTTTAAAAACTATCTACTTAAACATCACTATTAGACGCTAATGGTGCTCTCGTTTATTACAGCATGTGTGTTAAGGGTGGTGAGGTATCTATCTGTTTACATGTGCAAAAGTGCCCATCTGTAGCCGGTTATAGGGCTATCCTGTCAGGGATCTGTTGGTGCTGACATTATACTTTCACTCTCTGGAAGCAGGTTTGAAATGTAGGCTGCTGTGCATCTGTTTTACCTGAATAGATCCCTCTGTTCGAACAGAGTGTTTTATATATTCACATCTGCCTTCATTTGGATGAAGCCTTGTGTAAATCGGATGTGTTAAAGTCGTAGGGAAGTCATATTTAAATGTCAAATCCTTCTGTCTTAAACATTTATATAAATGTACTCTTATCAGACGATATTGTCCTAAAATTTTCTATAAAAAAAAAAAAATCCTGTCTTAAAATCTGTGGGGGTTTTTTTTTCATTATTTTATGCAGGCCAGTTAGTTATACGTCAGCCTGAACACATAAATTCAGCCAATCATATATCAACGGTCATCTGTCAATCAAATTTTTTCGGTCATCCTGATTCATATGTCGCAGCTATTATATACAACGGTTGAAATGAGAATCATTTCCTTTCCCATTGAGTTCTGTCCCAGTGTTCACGGGGATGGACGTCTGTGTCTCTGCGGTCGTAGAGCTAACAGAACTGGCAGCGTTGCGAGGCAAGGGCACAGACATGTACGGCTGAAAGCCTTCTACACCAAACCAAGCTTCTGCTGCCCTGGCGTCCTCTTCCACAACATCTTCATCCCCACTTTTCTCCTCTAAATAAAATATGTATGTCGAAGGAGACTCATCCACGACCTCCGACACAAAACTCTCCTCCTCTTGCATGTTTCAGCTGTCCATAGTGTTCCTTCACAGTGTCGCTGCTAAGTCACCAATTTAGAGCTACTTGGTCCCAATTTAATTTCCCATTTGGAACCTACAGTACTAGCACTAAGTTGCTAACTGGTTAGCAAGATTCTTCTAAGAAACCGGCCACAATCAAAGTTGCTTCGAACCTTCTGCCACAACAACCCTTGATAAACGACCAATCACATTAACTTTATTCACTCGTGTAAAGTCGGGCATCTCTCGGGAGAATTCGGAACTGCAACCTTTAGAACAGCCGCTTCCCTACGACTTTCAATCTTTCAAGTCTGACCCAAAATGCATTGGCCAATCACGCTCCAGTGTTATGCCTTAAAGCTGGACATATGGCAGTGAGGAAAGCAGTAACTACTGAGCCCACAGTCAAATTTAAAAACAAACATGGCAGCACAGGAGGATGTACGCCTAGCTGATGCTATCACGTCTGTTTTATCAGAATATATTATTTAATCTCTGAAAGAGGAACAGCAAGAATGTAAAAGCATTAGTTGTTGTGGTTTCTCATGACGGTGGCTGCTATTTCATTTATTAATATGACTGGCTACATTTTTTTAGTCCTGCTCCCCCTACAGCATTTATTAAATATAGTACTGCCGTAAACACTGACTGCCCTCTGTGAGCCGCGCACCCCTCAGCTACAGCACTGTCACTCTCTAAAATATGTGTCACAACCAAATGTCTTTAGAGTCGTGTGCTATTGTACATTATCTAATGTAAACTAGCAGCCTTTTTACAGCTGATCCAGAATGCTGCTGCCCGTGTCCTCACTAAGACTAAGAAAGTAGAGCACATCACCCCGGTTCTAAAGTCCTTACAATGGCTCCCTGTATCTCAGAGAATAGACTTTAAAATACTTCTGTTAGTCTATAAATCTCTGAATGGCTTAGTACCTAAATACATCACAGACTTGCTATCAGTGTATCAACCCTCCAGACCACTCAATGTCTTCTGGCTCCAGCCTGCTCTGCATACCTAGAACCAGAACTAAACATGGAGAAGCAGCATTTAGTTCCTATGCTCCACTGATCTGGAACAAACTTCCAGCAAACTGTAAAAGTGCGGAAAGCCTTAGTTCCTTTAAATCAAGACTAAAAACACATTTGTTTAGGATTGCCTTCGACTGTTCTAGTTAAACAGTTCAACTGAAACATCATTAGTTCAACTTTATTTTCTTTAGTCCAACTGTTTTTAATCTTCTTTTTTGTTTCTGCATTTTTTATTTTATTTATTTATTAATTTTTTCCTACTTGCTTTGACTCTGTTTTTTTCCCTATATTTTAATCATGTAAAGCACTTTGCATCGTCTTTGTACTGAATTGTGCTATACAAATAAATTTGCCTTGCCTTGCCATGCAAATTCTTACTCTTGTACAAGTACATCTGCCTCTCGAGTAAACCATTTTTTATTAGCTCCAAAGGCTGGTGATCCAGCCAATCCATGTTTTATAGTAGCGTTCAAAAAAAAATATCCCCATTCCCTATAAAGCAGACATGGAAGTCTAATAACAGGTCTGCATCAGTATTTGCCTGTTTTTCTTTGAGGTCTCGCCACGAAGCAAACGCTTTGCCCAGATTTACATTTTTCGAGTCCCATCTCAAGCGCATTCACCTTTTCATTTTCCCTACTGGCAAAGGTGTTCTATGCCTTTTTTATTTATTTAAATTTATTAAGGTTAAAAAAGAAATACTTAGCACTGCTTTAATGTGTAGACCTAAACCTGAGTGCTATATCTTATCATTCTGGCTCACTGGGTTAAAAGACGTCGATCTCTCTTTCTTTTTTGTCCCCACAGAACTCCAAAAGCCATGTGTCTCCAATGAGGAGGAAGCTTTAGACATCCAACAGCTCTGTAGCCAGAAGAGGGCATCCAGTCATCACCAGGAGGAGACAGAACCTCAGTGGAATGAAGAAAAACAGATGGAACCAGATTTCCCACTGTTTGAAGAACAGGGGGAACCTGGGCCTCCGTGGATTAAAGTAGAAGAGGAGGATCCAGAACCTCTACTGATTAAAGAAGAAAATGAGGATCCATGGTCTTTGTTGGAAAAAGAGGAACAGGAACAACTAGATTCTTCAATGCTCGGACGACCAACTAGACTCAACCACAAGGACCTTGGCAGCAGTCAGGAGAAAGGACAGCTTACCAAGAAACAGTCCATTGCTCTGATGGAGACTTCCACTCTTCAGGGCAGTAATCTGTGTGAAGGAGAACCAATAACTGGACAGCTTTCCTTTATCTCTCCTGTAGTTGAGATCACAGCTCAGGAGGGAAGTAGCTCCGCTGCGTCTGAGAGGCAGCCTCATGTTGACACAGAGAAAATGTCTTTTAAAGATGATGTTTGTGGAAGATCCTTTAAAAATAAGCATAGATTAGAACAGCATTACCGAACCCACACGTGTGAGAGACGGTTTTCTTGTGAGACGTGTGGAGCAAGTTTTGTTAGACGCCATCACTTATACGCACACCAGAGAATCCACACAGGTGAGAAGCCTTTTTCCTGTGAAACGTGTGGAAAAAGCTTCACTCAAATTGCTAGCTTAAACGTTCACAGGAAAATCCACACAGGCGAGAGGCCCTTCTCCTGCGAAATATGTGGGAAAGGTTTCATCAGACGCGATCATTTAGACGTACACCAAAGAACCCACACTGGGGAGAGGCCATTTTCATGTGAGGTAGGGCTGCAACATCGAATTCATAAAAGGAATAGAAATCGGTTAAGTGTTGGAAACGAATTCCATTATCGATTCATGGTGCAGTGAGATTAAAGCCCTACCCTCCATGTGGCCGAGCCGTTTACGTCAGCTCACTGTGCACACTGACAGCACAGTGGGCTGAACAGAGCAAAGCGTAAGCAGAGTAAAAGAAACTAGAACCTGACATTTCAAAAGATCTTTATTAATTTCCTTTTGGTGGGCTGTACCTATATGTCCTGCATATATAGGTCCTAAGCAGGAGCTCTCTCCGCTAAATTAACTATCGATAGAATTTTAAGAGTCCTTACTGATAAAATATTGATTGAATCAAAGTTTTAGGGGGAAAAAATGGCAAAAATATTCACAACATTTCTTAAAAGAAAAGGTCAGAGTTTTAATTAAAAAGATTTACATTTTCTTCGCTCATCGGCAGCCAGTTTTATTTAGCCTGACCATCGCTTACTTATGCAAGCCAAGAATTGAATGTCACCCTTTGAGAGAGCTTCAACATCCTCCTTAAACAAGATTTTGAAGCAAAGCTTTGATGATAGATTAAGGTTTATAGGAAAATACTGCTGCTTGTTTAGATTGAATTAAATTTCAATGGTTCATTTGAATTTTGATTTTGTTCAAGTTGTTTCACTTTATTGCATAAATGTATTTATGTCAGACTTTATATGGTAGCCAAAGTATAAAAATATGTATCTCATTTCAATGTTCAAAAAGTTTCAAGTTTTATAATAAATGAGTTTGAGTTTAAACACGTGTTGCTCTTTAGTTGTATGTGTATGTTTCATGCCAGTCTGCTAGGGGGCGCTATGGTGCTGGCAGCATAGATACAGGGGAGATTTCTAATATGGTCTTGGAGCCCAACTTTTTTTTTTTTTTTTTTTTCAATGAACTTTATTTTAAAGGAAATTAGTACAGGTGCTGGTCATAAAATTAGAATATCATGAAAAAGTAGATTGATTTCAGTAATTCCATTTAAAAAGTGAAACTTGTATATTATATTCATACATTACATACAAACTCATATATTTCAGATGTTTATTTTGTTTAATTTTGAGGATTACAAATGACAACAAATGAAAATCTCAAATTCATCATATCAGAAAATTAGAATATTGTGAAAAGGTTCAAAATTGATGGCCCCTGGTGCCACACTCTAATCAGCTAATTAACTCAAACCACCTGCAAAAGCCTTTAAATGGTCTTTCAGTCTAGTTCTATAGGCTACACAATCATGGGGAAGACTGCTGACTTGACAGTTGTCCAAAAGACGACCATCGACACCTTGCACAAGGAGGGCAAGACACAAAAGATCATCGCTAAAGAGGCTGGCTGTTCACAGAGCTCAGTGTCCAAGCACATTAATAGAGAGGCGAAGGGAAGGAAAAGATGTGTTCGAAAAAAGTGTACAAGCAAGAGAGATAACCGCACCCTGGAGAGGATTGTGAAACAAAACCCATTCAAAAATGTGGGGGAGATTCACAAAGAGTGGACTGCAGCTGGAGTGAGTGCTTCAAGAACCACCACACACAGACGTATGAAAGACATGGGTTTCTGCTGTCGCATTCCTTGTGTCAAGCCACTCTTGAACCACAGACAGCGTCAGAAGCGTCTTGCCTGGGCTAAAGAGAAACAGGACTGGACTGCTGGTGAGTGGTCCAAAGTCATGTTCTCTGATGAAAGTAAATTTTGCATTTCCTTTGGAAATCAAGGTCCCAGAGTCTGGAGGAAAAGAAGAGAGGCACTTCATCCACGTTGCTTGAAGTCCAGTGTAAAGTTTCCACAGTCAGTGATGGTTTGGGGTGCCATGTCATCTGCTGGTGTTGGTCCATTGTGTTTTCTGAGGTCCAGGGTCAACGCAGCCACATACCAGGAAGTTTTAGAGCACTTCATGCTTCCTGCAGCTGACCAACTTTTTGGAGATGCAGATTTCATTTTCCAACAGGACTTGGCACCTGCACACAGTGCCAAAGCTACCAGTACCTGGTTGAAGGACCATGGTATCCCTGTTCTTAATTGGCCAGCAAACTCTCCTGACCTTAACCCCATAGAAAATCTATGGGGTATTGTGAAGAAGAAGATGCAATACACCAGACCCAACAATTCAGAAGAGCTAAAAGCCACTATTAGAGCAACCTGGGCTATCATAACACCTGAGCAGTGCCACAGACTGATCGACTCCATGCCACGCCGCATTGCTGCAGTAATACAGGCCAAAGGAGGCCCAACTAAATACTGAGTGCTGTACATGCTCATACTTTTCATGTTCATACTTTTCAGTTGGCCAACATTTCTATAAATCCTTTGTTTTTATTGGTCTTCAGTAATATTCTAATTTTCTGATATGATGAATTTGAGATTTTCATTTGTTGTCATTTGTAATCATCAAAATTAAACAAAATAAACACCTGAAATATATGAGTTTGTATGTAATGTATGAATATAATATACAAGTTTCACTTTTTAAATGGAATTACTGAAATCAATCTACTTTTTCATGATATTCTAATTTTATGACCAGCACCTGTATACAACAAACAGCATAATGAACAATACAACATTCAAGCAATACAACCAGGGGTGATTAGATAAGAACATGCAAAGACGTACATATCGAGATTGTCCTTTGAGCCTTTTGATTTGTAGAGTCTGTTATTGATTTGACATATAGAGCCATATCTTTAATGAAAAAAGAAAAACAAGGTGTCCTATTAGCAAACTTGCATTTATGAATATAATATTTAGCAAAGAGTATTAGTAAGTTTATTATAAAGGAATGATCAGCAACCTTTCTATGAAATCTATAGAAACAAAATAAAACATTTTCCCAGCATAAAGAAAAATTGTTTAAAATATGGTCAATAATAAACCTGCTAAATTCAGACCAAAACCTTTGTATAACAGGGCAGAGCCAAAAAAGATGTGTCACAGTTTCTGGATGGCCCTCACAGAAAGTGCAATTAGTGTTTATGTCGCGTTTATATTTTATCATATAATGTTTAGCAGGGTAAATTTTATGGAGAATTTTAAATGACACTTCCTTCACCTTGTTTATAATTAAATATTTATGGGGGATCATCCAAACAGTTTTCCAGTGAATATCTGGGATATAACGGCTCCAATAAAGTGTTATGGCTGGACGAGAAACAGTAAGTTCTTGGAACAATCTGCGTATTCTCTCATTGCTTTTCCTAAACTCCATTGAAAAACAGCTTTTTCCCACAGATGATTCGGTTAGAGCAGGGATAAAAGGTGGAACAGACAGAGTATAATTAGTGTTTTTAAACAACATTAAGGTGCCCAAAGGTACAGCATTAACCACCATGGAGAATTCCTGGATACTAACTGGAAAATTATATATCGAGCAGAATTCATTGTAATTGATTAATCGTCCTTTATTAATCAGCTGAGCCACCAGTAAAATTCCATTTTGAACCCAAGTTTCAAGATAGAGTGACCTATTTTTAAATAGAATATCTCTGTTGTTCCAGATGAGGTATTTGTGAGGTGAGAAGTTATGTTTACTTGGAGCCCAACTTTGTTCTGGATGAAAAATGTTTTACAGTGTGGAGATAGCTTTGGATGAGCATGTGAACAGTTAATTATTTTTAGTTATTCAGTCATTTTCAAACTGAGGTGTATGAGTACCACTGGGAAATGTTTGTCAGCAATTCCTTTAATCCACTCCACACAGCAACATCTATTAAAGACTGTCAAACTTTAAACAAGTCTGTTAAATCAGTTGAAAAGGGGCAATGTCCACATTGATACCTATAGAGTTAATGGTAAAGGCTTCCATAATAATGTTAAGAGTACTTAACTGAGTGCTGATATGTTTCATTTGTTTTTATGTAGGCTGATAAAAAATAATACCCAGAGATAAAACAATCACTGACATAATTGTTTCTGAACATTATGACCATTGAACAGATAACTGGTACAAGCTAGCAGCACAGAATAAATCACTATAGAAACTTATGTTTCTCTCTGCCTTCAAGCTAAAGCTGCATGCATCAAAATCATGTGACTGAAATGAATTAAAATTCTAATATAAAAAAATTCAAATGTTTAAATTTATTTCAGTCACATGATTTTTGACTGAAAGTTATCTGGGAAATCCCAGCATAATCCAGAATCTTGGTTTGGTGAATCAGACCTCAAGGAAAATATAGATATTGGAATATATTACCATCATAAATCACCTAAATCTAAAAAGGTACCATGAAGCAACATTTCAGGATCAAAATTATTAGTCGTTTTCTTTGCATTATTAGATAAACAGATCAGTTCTGTAATAAAGGTTTTGTCTCTCTCTGTAGTAGAGGTGGAACCAGAGTGTTATTGATGAATCAAGATGAAGCCAAACATCTGATCTTTACCATATTGGATGATAAAACGTAAAAGTTATAGGAATAATTGAAAATAAACTTTCCAAATGTAACTAGTTAAGTCATTTTATTATACAAAACCAGAGATGGAAAAAACTTTTGTTTTCAAATCTAAAGGAATTAAAATAAAATGACATCAGTTCTCAGTTAATGATAGTTTTAATTTGTCCTCAGGATAACAGAAGCAAGTTCAGCTCATTTCATTCTCAGCTGATATAAAGAACATTTGTTCTGCAGAGCAGTAGAGCAAAAATTAGAACATCCACATAAATAAATACAAATATTAAAGTAGAACAATTAGAGCCCAGAGAAGATTATAATATGGATAAATATAACAGAGTTAGTAGAACAAAAGAAAACCTCAGCAGTGACATCCTTTATGACTCCTGGAACACAGACACAAAGTTCTACATTTAAATAAAAAAAGAATGAATAACAGAGCAGCAGAGACACCAGAGCCATGAACCTAGATCATCAAAGAAAGAAAGGAAAATCTATTTGAGTTTACAGAACTCTCCAGAGCAATAAACACCAACATGCAGCGGCTGAGTGAATGTGGTCTGGACTCTGTGAAAGAGAGTCATGGTTTCAGAGACGCTGTAGAAGGACAGAATACCTGCTGAGTGATCCAGGTATATTCCTATCCTGGAGGAGTTAGGACGTTTGACAGGGGTCCAGATGTTGTTGTGACCAAATTTAAAACCAAAATCAATATATTTGAATGTCTCAAGATTTGTCATTATATCCAAACTTACTTTCATTCCCACTACCTGTTCTGCTGATATCCTTGTATGCAAACGCTACATAAGACCCGATCATCTCCCAGTAACAGCGTCCAGTCAGACTGTCTACTGAGAACCTGATACAAATCAGTGAATCTCTGAGTGATTAGAATAACACTGATGTCCATCAGTCACTGCAACCTTCCTGTTCCCCTCTGATAGTAACATCCCTGTGTGTGCTGTGTTTGGATCAAATGTGATTTCACGTGCATATTTTAAGAATCCAACTCTATTCTGTGGTTCTGGTTCTGACAGTAGAACCTCCTCCTCAGTGATTATCAGTGAGATGTTTGTCCATGTGTCTCTCAGAATGTCCTGCAGTTTATCTCTGAGCTCTGACACAGCTGCTGTCACATCCTCAAAGTGTCTCAGAGGACGGATATTGATGCTGGATGAGTGTGTAGACTCACTGAGTGCTGACAGTGAGGGGTAGCTGTGGAGAAACTGGTTGTGATCCTCTGTGTTTAAGAGCTGCTTCAGCTCAGCTTCTTTCTTCTTCAGCTCAGTGATCTCCTGCTCCAGCTTCTCCTGAAGCTCTTTGACTCGACTCACTTCAGTTTCCTGCTGGGATCTGATCTGCTG